ATTTTTTTACCAAACAAGCGATAGTATTTTACTAGATTAATTAAAAAAGAACTGAGAGACATCTCAATTAGCAATATGATGGACATGACAAAGCTTCCCTAATGGCCAAAGTCAGTTCTAGAACTGAAACAATATAGAGAGAATGAATCGCAAATAAATGACTCAATAATTTTAGTTACCTAACCATTTTAATAATGGTGGAGCTTTGAATTTTATGATGAAATTTGGTCGACAACAGTTATGCATGAAATTTGAATTTGTGACATTTTTCAACAAGATGGACATTGACTATTAGCTAGTGTGTTGGTAAACTAAATTGCTATTGGCCGTTAACTCTTAATTTCTTTCAAGTGAACAAGTTAGAGGGATTGGATTGGATGGTTGAGCAAGTTGATTAGAGTATGATTATAATCTAACTTGGGATTATAATGATAGTTGTAATGATGATTGTGATTCAATGGTGCCTTCGCTATCACATTTTGGCTTGCCAAAGAAGGGAGAAGCAAGGTATTAATCTCATATATATGCAGCTGTCATTATGCCAAAGGATGGAATTGATTATGGAAATGAATCATGATTAGGGATGACAAAGACAAGGGAGGAAAAGCAAGAACCATTGTCACAATTCCATGGTAACAAAGGTCAAATAATTTATGGACACACATTCATACATTATAATATTCCAACCGTTTTGCATGCTATGAAAAGAACACATATGATAATGCTATATCTATATAGTTTCTTGCACACGAAATCATTTGAAAAATGAAAAATAAATAAATAAACCCTTGATTATATAGTTTTTTGACGGCCTTGATTGATTTGTTAATTAATCCCCTAAAATGTAATTAATAATGCTAATTCTGGAAACTGTGTAGAATCGAGGATGCATCTTTTTAAGTAATTCGAAGTCTCTGCTTTTCATCAGACTAGCTTGCCTTTTTCTAGCAGTACTATTTCTTACCACCTTGCATCATTTAAGATGTTACCCATTAAGGGTTTTTTTTTAATTTAATTATTATTATTATTAGTTTATGTTGGATTAGATCCAAGCAAGCAAGTTCTAGAAATTGGTGAAATCAAATGGAATCTTTGTGGAAGATCAATTTTTTCTCCTTGGAAATTAAAATTTTCAATCCCTAGCTAAAGCCAATATAATTTATTGAGTTTCCTATCTTGAACAATTAAGTGACAATCATTAAACTAACACTCATTCGGCTTGTGGACAACACTCAATTAAATTGAAGTTGAGGTCAAGTTTGAAGCTTGTTGCTTTACTCTTTTGATCAAATGATATTTATTTCTGCTTAGTTAAAAAAGATCTCATATATTTGACTCACATGAATAGCGAGAAAGGCGATATCAAATCCGATACTATCCAATTAGCACCAAGACTACCCTATGTCATGTAGCTAATAGTGCAGTGCCAAAATTTGCAAAGTACACTACACACCAAATTGTCCCTACAACCATTATATCACACACACCATACCCACCAATCCATTGGCTCAAAAGGCCCCAAACAATAACTCAATAACAGTAGCAAAATCAACCCCCCTTGGATCTGCATTCTGCATCTGCACTTGATCATCATCATCCTCATCATGATCACATCACAAACTGTAACCTGTTCTTGTTCTACATAAAAAAAGCTGCAATACACAGAGTGGCCCTTTAGTGCCCTATAACTACAGGGCGGGATGGTCATGTAAAAAAATATTATATAATTATTATCAAGTACCTTTACCTTGCATTGCAAGGACCATGGACCACACTAAACACTATATACTGGCCTATACATAGTTACAAGTTCCAAAAAACAAAACCCAGTTCAGGAAAAAAAACAGTAAATCAAATCTCGATGCACCACCACATTGCTTTGGTCCAAAATTTTCCGACCTTCACAGCACCCGGCTTTTATGGGGTTTACAGCAAATTGACCCACCAAAAAATTGACCCTCCCAAAAGAAAAAAAAACACACACAGAAAAAAAAAATTATGACCCTTCAATAGTAGGGTTGGTTTCTGGTTCGTACAGATTGCTTTTCTGGCCTAAAATTCATGAAGAGAGAGAGAGAGAGAGAGAGAGAGAGAGAGAGAGAGGGTTGGTTTCTGGTTCATACATATATTATCGTATTGACAATTTGACATAAGCATTTTTGAGGCATTAACATATAAAATCTGAGTGAAAGTTACGTAAGGCTGAGAGTTGAGAGTTAAACACTTCAAACTCCAGTTTTGTACTAGACCGGTGTGGTGTGGCAGAGAGAGGCCAGAGATGGATGGAGATGTATCATTTGGGGACTGGGGTTCGCTAAGTTACGCAGGGGTGCGTAGTGGGCCCTACTAGTACGTACCTTTGATTTTGAAGGAAGGAGGAAGGGGGAAGAGGACAAAAAGAGGAGGGTGAGGTCAGCGTGGTGTAGGCGTAGAGTAAGAAGGAGGAGGAGAGAGGAGAGAAATATAAGGCAAGCGGCGGAGAAAGCTTCGTTTTTGAAGGACCACCTGCTTTTTTAACAGGCCCCAAATTAAAGCTGCGTGGGGACTCTCTGCCTTCTCACTCTCATTCTCTTCTGCGTGTGCCTCACATGTTCTTCTATCATAACAGTAATTGCATACAAAAAGCATGCAACCCAATGATTATTATTTATTTTAAACTTCATTTCAAAAAAAGAAAGAATTTTTTTTATAATTTTTATAGAAAATTATTCTTGAGTGAATTTTAGGATACGGGCTTCAAAAAAGAGAGCATCATTTTGACATTCTTTTTTATAAATTATGTTCTGTTTGAGAGTTTTAAAATATAATTTTTACGTACTTTCATATAAGAAACAAGATTAATCTCACATTATTGTGTTTGACGACTTAAGATTATTCTTATGTTGGTTAGGTAGAACTAATCTATTTTCATTTTTCAATTAAAAAAATCATACAATTTGAAAACCCACCTGAATTGACCCTAAAGTTCATATAATTTGTCTATTATTCAAAAGAAAAAACAAATGAGAACTTTTTTATTTATGAAAATGAGTAACATGTTTGTCAAGCCGTTGTTGGAAACCTTTTCAAACAATTCATTTGAATAGTATGAAAATTTATGTTTGTGGAAATGCAAACCCATAAATTTTTGAAAACGACTTGAAAATATAGAGATTCTTGAAATTACTTTTGAAAATGAGACTTATATCATGTGTGTTGACGGAGAAAACAAAAGGGCTTAGCTTGTTAGGCCCTTCAAATCAAATTAGGGCAAAACCTAGCTATAGCCTAATGTTCTAAATCACAATTTGACCTGTCAAAAGTTTTAACATACCCCCTAACCATTTCAATTTCCTTAAGAACATGTGGTAGGGAAGTTAACTTGGGGAAATTGTGGTGATAGGGTTGTGGAAGAAGAAACAAATAGTGGGTGCGCGTGGAGTAGGCATATTTTTGTTTGTTTTTTTTATTATCAAGATAAATAAAAAGAAAAAGAAAAGATGCTGGTCCCATGCAACAATGTGTTATGTGTAATGTGGTATAGAAAGAGAAGGGGGATGGGTGGGCTACTTTAATACACCAATTAATGAGAATTAGATGGCAAAACATTGGACCACCTCATCTCATCCAACACACAGTCCCTTATTTTGGGAACATTTTGCACAACTCTAGGCGCATCTATTCTCTCTCTCTCTCTCTCTCTCTCTCTCTCTCTCTCTCTCTCTCTCTCTCATTCATTTTGTGAAATAAAAAGCTCCTCGAATTTTTTGGTTCATGGAAAAAAAGTTTACCCACTAATTAAGATGAGGAGAAAAAATGAAAAACAACAAAAAAAGGGCAGGGCCACCATTGTCCAATCCCAAGCGCCTAGCCTCACTGAAACCCATCTGAAAAAGCCTGGAAACAACTCCTACATGGGAAGGACTTCTTGGGATTTGATCCCATCCAATCCAACCCCACAGAGATTTTTAATATAAAATGATAATTATTATGATTATTTTGCAATTGGGTTTTGTTTTTTCTTTTTAATTTTTGGTGGATGATTATTATTATGATTATGTGGAAGAGAGGAGAGGGGAGTTTTGAAAAGAAATTATTAAAGTAAAAGAAGAGGTCATGCGGCGGCTTGTAGTTTGTGTACTCAGGCAAAGGACGATCATTACTCTGTTGTGGTAAAAATAGTTGTAGTACTAGTACTTTGCAAGGCAGGGAGGGTTTAAATTTTTTTTAATGTTTAATTTATTGTATTAATTAAAGGGTTTTTCATGGTTTAACAGTAATTTAATATTGTTGGGTTAGGAAATAATTGAGGTGGGGAGGGTATTAGAATCCTCATTCTAGGAAGTCTATTTTGGAGGTATTTATATCATGCATTGACCCACTTGAGAGAGAGAGAGAGAGAGGAGAGAGAAAAGGAGAGAGAGGGAGGCCATATATGATGGAAATGAAATGATGAACATGGTTAGGGAAGGTCATCATCAGCCCTATCTGATCGTCTATTTCTGAGGAGATATATTTGATCTTTCTTCCTAGGTTGGGCTTTCATGGCTTACCATGTTGGCTTATTAGGAGAAGTCTTCTGAGAAAAAGGAGGCCACTCTTCTTCTCTTCCTCCTCCTCCTCCTAGCTCCTCCATCATCTAAACCACCACCACCCACCACCCACCACCTTCCACCTACTCTATTTTCCTGAACAATCAACATATGCATATACTGCACTTTGTAAGCCTCTCTTCTCTTTTCTGTCTAATGCAATATTGTTAGCTTAACAGCAAGCAGCAAACTTTATTGTCCCTTCTGTTCATCTGATCAAAGTGATTCTTTTAATTTGGTTTTTTCATAAATTTTGGTTATTGATCTGATTCTTCAGCTCTGCTCTATTGCGAATCTAATTAGTTTCTCTTTCTTTTGTGGCAGGGGATCTTGTTGGAATTGTAATTGCAGAAAAAAGAGTATCTTTCAGTCAAAGAAAAGCAGTAGAGAGATAGAGAGAGAGCAAGAAAGAAGAAGACAGTAACTTTCATGGCTGGACAACTAAGTGAAGCTAAACCAAGGAACATGGTCTCTTCTTCAGTTGGGTTCTGCTACTCTGATGTACCCAGCAACCCAACCATTCATCAAACCCAGTTCACCAATCAGATCCAAGACTTTGGCTCCAACCCAGAGATCTTCAACTTGACCACAGGGATGGAGATGATAGGTTTCCTAAAGCAGAATGAAAGTAACAACAACTCAGCTATGTGGAAAGCTGGCTTCTTTGGCAAACCAGGGAACCACCAAGCAGGCCCATCTTCTTCAAAGACAATCAATGAGTCAACAAGTTCTGATTTTTATCATCACCAGCATGAGTTTAACAACAAGCAACCTGATTTCTCAACTGGGATTTCAGAAACAAGTAGTGATCATCATCAGAATCTAATGGTAGGACCTCAACATCAAGACTCCTCTGGGGCTTGGCAAGAGAATAGGTTCCTTGTTGATGATTCTTCTCTGAGGTGTGTGTTTCCGTGTGAAGGAAATGAGAGGCCAAGCCAAGGCCTTTCACTCTCTCTTAGCTCAAACAATCCTTCTAGTATTGGGTTGCAGTCCTTTGAACTGAGGCAGACCAATCAGCATCAACCACATCAGCAAGACCAACAAGATGATGATGATGAAGAAAATGATGATCACATGAGGTTTATTTCTTCTGCTTCAAGAGATAGTGTTGGGCTCTTTGGAAAACCATCAGCAAATATGCAGCAGCAGATGAATATGATGCAAGATGGGTTTTTGGGAAAAGCTACAGCTTCTTCAAGTCTTCATCCTGAAGGGCTGTTCCATCTCAGAAACTCAAAGTACTTGGCTCCTGCTCAGCAACTTCTCAATGAGTTTTGTAGCCTTGGAACCAAGCCAAGTACTGATCACCACCATCCATCAAAGGAAAAGCCCCACAAAAACAAGCTGTGGGAACAAGAAGACAATGGCACTACTAGTTCTTCAAGAAACAAACAATCCAATATTTACTCCCTTGAATTTGTGGAGTTGCAGAAGAGAAAAACCAGACTGCTTTCAATGCTAGAAGAGGTAAACATGTACATGTCTTTCAATATTTATTCATTTACAGTTGAAAGTTCAAAACTTTTACTGGGTGGTGGTTGATTCTTGAGCTAATTAAGCAACTTGGGGTCCTTCCAATTAATACCCACAATTCAATATTTCGATTTTTTATTTTTTATTTTTTATTTTTTATATTGGAAAATTTATAACTTGAGATTCTCTCTCAAACCCAACTCTACTGGTTTTTTTTATCATCATGATCATATGTGTGCCTTGTTTTAGGTGGAGAGAAGATACAAGCACTACTGTGATCAAATGAAGGCAGTGGTCTCGTCCTTTGAAACTGTGGCTGGTGCTGGGGCTGCCACAGTGTACTCAGCCTTGGCTGCAAAGGCCATGTCACGACATTTCAGGAGCTTGAAAGATGGGATTGTGAGTCAGATTCAGGTCACAAGAAAAGCCATGGGAGAGAAGGATCCAGTGGCTCCAGGCACAACAAAAGGTGAAACACCAAGGCTTAGGATTCTTGATCAAACACTTAGACAGCAGAGAGCTTTCCAGCAGATGAACATGATGGAGAGTCATCCATGGAGACCTCAACGTGGCCTTCCTGAGAGATCAGTCTCTGTTCTTCGAGCTTGGCTCTTTGAACACTTTCTTCACCCGTATGTCTCTCTCTCTCTCTCTTTCTCTTTCTCTCTCTGGGTCTTTATATGACTAAACAACAAATTAGATTTTTGGGAAGAATCAATGTTATGTGAAAAGAAAAGAGAAACAACAAACACTTCGCTGATGTTGTTATGTTGATATAATTTTCTCAAGGCCGCAAGAGTTTTGTGATCATCAAGTGATATCTTGTATGGTCTCAATCATTTTGCTATTGAAAAAACAATACAAACAATTTGGTTGTTTCTATCCACCACCATTCAGATTCCAAGTTTTTCAATTTTTTTGCGTCATTTTATTTTCAATCATTTATTTGCTTGATATTTTGCTTGGCCCCCCACCCCCAACTCTCTTTGTTGTATATTCCTTTGTGGGTCACTAGGTCTCATTCTACTTCATGGGGGAAAAAAAACACCATAGCTCTCTCTCTCTCTCTAAAGAAGTAACAGTAGTATTTTTAGTTGTTTACAATACAATAGAAATAAAAGAAAGTAACAGAATGTTTTGTGAAACTTTTGCAGGTACCCTAGCGATGTTGATAAACATATCTTAGCCCGCCAAACGGGTCTCTCAAGAAGCCAGGCACGTCTACATCCCTCTCTCTCTCTCTCTCTCTCTCTCTCTCTCTCTCTCTCTCTCTAATATTATACAAATTTCCCCACCACTTAATTTATATTATTATGGGGCATATCTTCTTAGGATCCATAGTTTAGTTGAATAATCTATGTTTATATCATATTATAATTGGTAATCATTTATATTATAATATGAATCCGTGTCACCAATCATATTATATACGTGATGCCTTTTGTTGTTACATGGTGTTTCAACAGGTCTCCAATTGGTTCATTAATGCAAGAGTTAGGCTATGGAAGCCCATGGTTGAAGAAATGTACTTGGAAGAAACAAAAGAGCGTGAAAACAACATGAACAACTTGACCTCTTCAGATGGGATCACAACAGACCCCGGGGACAGCAGCCGATCGGGTCAAAACCCGCTTCACATCCGTCCCGAGGATCAAAAACCCACGCCCGACCAGCTCGTCCGAATAGACTCCGAGTGCCTCTCCTCCATCATCACAAACCCAGACAAAAATCATGACTCCAGAAGCAGCAAAAGCACCCTCTTAAACCACCACATGAACCCACAACAAAGTTTTGGGAGGGTAAATGAGTCATTTGGGACAATGGAGCTGGATTTTTCATCCTACAATCACCATCAGCAACACTCTGGAGGGACAGTTTCTTATGCCAATGATCATCATCACAATCCAAATCAGGGTTTCAATGGTGGAGGCGTGTCGTTGACATTAGGGTTGCAACAGCATGGTGGCAATGGGGTGAGCTTAGCATTCTCTCCTGCCTCACAGAGCTCTCTATTTTACCCGAGAGATCACATTGAAGAATGCCAACCAGTTCAATACTCTCTCTTAGATGGGGAAGGCCAGAATACTTTGCCCTACAGAAATTTGATGGGGGCACAGTCGCTACATGACTTGGCTGGATAGGCGAAACACTGCTCAATTGGACAGTTTCAAGAGGTTCACTATGGTTTAATTTAATTTATGTCACAAATATATGGTGAATTGGAGATTGGTAATAGATAAAGTAGTTTTAGGTATAGATGGATATATATAGCTAAATACTTGATACATACATAAAAGGCTATACTGGGTTAGGCAACAATTATATGATGATCTTCACTTTCATGGCTGGTATAGTTTTTTTGGGTCGTCTTTTTTTTTCTTTCTATTTTTTTTTCTTTTTCCCTTTTATAATTGTAAGGACATGTTTATTATTGGTAGGCTAATTTGGAATTGCCCGTGATTTGGTCCAAAATTATACAATATTTGTTTGCTCTTATGCGTAGAAAATGATTTTCCAGATATTTTAACCTAATTAAGTAGTTATATGATCATCTCTCTTTAATTGCCTTTCTCCATTTGTGGTTGGGCTAAGCCAGCTGACGATTTGATTGAACCACTTGTGGCTCGTTTTTTAGTGAATATTTGCTTTTTTTGTGGCTCTCTATGTGGTGGAGACAATTAAGTTTTAGCAGCACAATTTGGTGTTGGATCGTCCTTATGTAGTTTCTTGGAGAATAAGACATTTGCTAAAGGAAATTAGAAAATATCGTGACCCTTTTTGTGTGTGTGTGTGTATTTGTGGTCCTACAATTCATGAGCCTCGTGAAGACGATATTTTCATGCCAATAAGAATTGGTCACCTTTTTTTGATTTGTCAACTTTGGGATTGGTTTATGCTTCTGCTTTTGCAAATGGAAAAAGTTGCTTTTATTGGTTACCTTTTTAGGTAGTGTGAAGGGCATTAGGGTTTTGGGGATACAACTACCCTTGTACGTGCACCCAATCAAATTTATCAAAATCAACCAACCCTCTCCTTCGCATGCAGAGTGCAGACCTCAATCGAATACTTCACCTCTCTGTGAAATAGATCGAATACTTCATCTCTCTGTAAAATAGTTATTCATGAAATATTGCATGCACATACAAAAACAATTAAAAAAATTCACCAAATTAAGATGTTTCATATCATGGAAGATGTCAATTATAAGATACATTAAAAGATTATATATTGTTATAACCTATCAGATCGTTTAAGTTTTTTTGGCTAACTTAGGTCACTGGAGAAGTTTAACTCTTGTCTATCATATTGTTATTGAGATGGCTCCTTTTACAATCTGTGTCATTTGTACTATCAGGGGCGGAGCCACAGCAAGGCCTGCCATGGCCTAGGCGCCCCCATTTAATTTTTGATCTCTTGTAATATATTATAAAATATATGATATAGCAATGCAATTACTGCAATTAGATTAGTGATGGCCCTCTCAGACGAAGATGAAAAACCTATACGGAAGTGATTTTGAAACTTTGGCCCTCCATACTAAGAATCCTAACTATGTACTATTATTCCTATTAATCTTATAAAATTATATCGCTTTTAAATTTCTTTGTTTAAAAAAAAAGAGATTATATATAATCAAGGAAAAGTTTTACGTAAGTACGTGGTTCAATTCCAATAACTACCTGAAAGCTATTTAAATATGCATGATTATATTATTGACATGCAACGAACAAGTCATGCATATGATCATGTGATAAACTTGAGCTTGACAAACAAGCGCATGATTATATTCTTTTTAGGAATGGCCCCCCCATTGAATTATGCTTTCCTAAGCATAAAAATCACGGTGTTTTTATAATAGAAATTGCTTTCCACACACACACACACACTATATATATATATATATATATATATATAGTGAGAGACATTTAAGAGACACCTTTATAGGGCCCACTATACATTGTATTTCATTAATTCAAACCGTATATTTTGTAGATATTCATTCTAAGATCATCTCTACAAAAAATCACTTGAATCGGATATCATTTGACTACTCAAATAAATTATCAAAATTTTAGTACTTTCTTAAAGCACTGTGTTCATTGATTTTATAGGACACCATTAGATGTCTAAATAGTTTCCGATTTGTCTAATTTTTTTCAATGATGATTTATGAATAAAGACTTAAAAAATGGATTGTTTCTCGATTGTTGGAAATAAATAAAATTGTAAGGTATATATATATATATATTTGGTTGATTTGTAAGTTGGTAAGACGAAGTAGTAACAATGGTTGAAGGGTTCTTCTATACGGACATGGAAAACCATATCTTTCATTATCCAACGGTTGCAAGACAGTTGCAATGGTTAGTAAAATGGTATTTATTTTGTTTTCCTGATGAAAATATATGGTTCTTAATTACATGCACATTGAAGTCGAACTAAAGTCAGGTTTTCCATGCCTAGGTATTCCGCCTGTTACCAAAACGGGTTGACAACGACCAACCACAATAACATTATGGAGAAGTTAACACAATCTACCATATTTTTCAAAATAAAATTATTTGGCGACTCATCAGTTATAGACAAGAGGGCTTGTCACTTGTAACTCTTTTTGTTTTCCAAATACATTGTATCATGTGATTGAATTATTGTGACTAATGAAGGTACATTGACAAAGGAAGGCAGATTGGGTTTTAAATTCCCGCAAGCGGGGAGAGTCATTTGGAATTCATTTCAAATGGAATTTTGATACCGATAACTAGCCTTTGTTCTAGTGGCACTTTATTTCTCGACATTATAAAAGATCTCGAGTTGGAATCGCTCTTCCGTGTTGAGAAAAACTGAAAGATATAGATGATCCTATTTAGGAAGCACTACTGGATAAGGAGTGGTCCAATTTCGGATGGGCCCTGTCCTTCTTACGTTTTGGACAACTAAGCCAAATAAGCCCAGAAGTCATAGAACAGCCAAATCTTATTGGGCTGCCAGAAGATACTGGCCTCTTGCCTGGATGTGAAAATTATCCAACACCCATCTGGCTGAAATTTCAGCGATTCATTATTGTTTGTTTCTTTTTTTTACTTTTATATATTGGAATGGTTGCATAATAGAAATGAATTGGAAAATTCCAAATTCCAAATGGGCTTCAAACACGTGTAAGCAAAGCATAAAATTCCAAATATACTCTGCCCCAAATTAAAACAACAAGAGGAATGTTAGTAACCTTCTTTCTAATATTCTCATTTTTTTGCTTGATATGTGTCATTCTCCTTACACTTAAAACAACGTCATTAATATATTATACGAGTTAACTTTTGCTTTCCAAGTTTACCCTTATTAAGTGTATTCAATTTATCCATAAAAATTTCATAACTTTCTTACCATCTTATTAATTTTTTTTTAACTTTCAATTTTTTTTTAAAAGAAAATATTTCTTTAAAAAAATAATTGACGTTAAAAAAAAAAATTTAATTATAAAAAAAAAAAAAAAAAAAAGCGCGGATCCTTCGTGATGGCAGCATGGGGAGCCCATCAGAGATTCAGAGGTCAGGGCAGGTTAATATGGTGCAGCGGAAATGAATTATTACAAATAGGGAACTGGGGTCGAAGAAGCTAGGCTAGTCTAAGATTCATAGGTCAAGAACCACTTCATTACTAGTAAAGTTTAACTTTAGAGAGTAAAACCTGCTGCAAACAATTGTGATTTGTGCCTTTTTCAAAATTTTAAAATTTATTTTTGACCAAAAACAAAGAAAAGACAGGATGGATTGATAATTGATGCGTGTGAAGGGATATGGTTATGGGCCATGGATCAACAGACCTGCAGGGACCCACCTCAATTCACCTCGTGAAACCCTAAAAACCCTCTCCCGACACATTTTAGGTGGTGGATGGGCCCATCTATGTGGGCCCACTTAAGGTTATAGCCACACTCTCTCACCCACTCCATCTCCAAACACAGAGGACACAGCACTCATAAGTAGGTCAATCGCCCTAATGGATTTTCTTTGCAGCAGTTTCATAGGGTTTGAAAAAAGAAAGTATCTTACGTGCATTCATGGTAAAACAAGTAACGAACATATTATATCATGTTTTATGTGCACCGACACTTTGGTATATGTAGTTTCTTCTTTTCTTTTCTTTTTTTACTCTCTTTTTGTTCATTTCATTTTTATTATTACTATTATTTTCTTTTGTAGAAGAGGAGGAGAGAATCGAACTTAAAATCTCTTAAGCTACAAACTCTTTTTTATTTAATTATTTTCTGTTTGATGAAGGTAGAATAGACGCCAATATCTTGACATAAATTTCTTCTAGTGCTAGGGTTCTCTGTTTTGCTTTTGTAGTACAGTGCATGATACATGTTGTGGTGTGGTTGGGAGATGAGAATTGTCGGTCGATCTACGCTTAAGATGTGTATCCACATTAGAGAGTTTTTGATATTTGATAGGTATTTATGCTTGGTGTTTATTGTTAAATGATCTCGAAATCAAAATCATTAGTAAAAATTGGCCATTTTTATAATAAATAAAAAAGAAAAGAAAAGGGAAAATTGTATGATGGATACTCTTAAAACATCTCAACCAACATCTTACTTTTCGGCAAAAAACAGAAAAAGAAAAAGAATTGTTTAAGTCATGCAAAAAGGTGTAGTGGACTATCTTTATGCAAAGAAACATTATAATTTAAATTATGAAAAGTGATTTTTAATTTTACATCATTTCATTATAAATCCGTTACCTTTTGAGCTTTCTTCTGGTCTCATCTTAAATTAAAAAATAAAAATTACGACTTCTGTTAAAATAAAATAAAATCCAATAGATAGTTGTAAAGCGAAGGGCGGAGTGTGGCGGGCGATTGTAGCCAATACTCCTCAAAATAATACCTTTTTTTTATATAAAAAAACTTCTGTTGATGAGGGTCATGTTTGCCTCTTCAATAATTGATATATGCACCCCCCAAATTTGCTTCTATTAACCCATCAAATCAAACTGTATGTTTGGATTTGGAAGATACAGTACAAGTCAGATGAGAGAGAGAGATGGAACTGTAACTTGGTCTTGATGGGGATGCTTCTTCTTACTCTCTAAGATGGTATATGCATGCACAAGATCAGAACTTGCCATACTTCTTTTTTATTTCTTTGAAACATAGATACTATTACCTCTATTAATATAATAATATTTGTGGTCCTGTAATAAAACAAATATTATGCATAATTAAATATGTTTTTGCATCCTAATAAAAAAATTCTTGAAGCCCTCCCTCTCTGCAAAAGACACGAGTAAACTTCAATTTATATGTAATATAATAAAAATAATAATAATAAAAAGAGAGAATGAAGCAGTGTTTTGTTCTTGACTTCTTCTGATGTTCGAGAAATCTAAACCATGCTAATTAAAATTCCTAATCCTACAATCAATCCAAGGAAGAATTCAAAAGGCCCCATTTGGGACCTATAAATAAAAAATAAAAAACATTATTTATTAGAACAAGTGAGCTATGACTCATTTGACTTGGTCACGTTAGGTTGTTTTTTGTTTTTTGTTTTTTTGCTTTCTGTTGGCAACATTATTATTTTGAGAGTGACACCAGACACCGTAGTCATGTTCCTAAATGTCAATTTCACCTAATAAATGCATGATAGGAAAAAAAAGAAAAAAAAAAGGTAAAGAATAAAGTTTGTGAGAAAGCAAAACGAAAAAAGCGGTGGAGTGGAGGGGCCATTCGGGTGCTTAATAATGTGCCAAAGAATCATGCTACTAGGCTATATATACCTCTCTATATTTGGGTGCTTAATAAAAAGCACCTTTCCAACCAATATCTCTCTATATTTGGGTTTTAGGCTATATATGATCCTCAGCTGGATGTTAGATTGACGAGTTTGCAGTCGTTAGATTGACGAGTTCATTTATTTAGGTATGAAATCCCGTGATTCTTATAGACGAGACGCGTTGAGAAAACCTCACTGGCAAAATCAAGAACGCTGCATAAAGAAGGGCAAATTGCGTCGGATGGAGCAATAGAAGTAGCATTTTGGATTGTATTATTTAACTTTATCATATGTAATCTATGGAAAATCTAGGTCCCGCCAAATTGGTCAGAAGACAAACCACCATGGTTAAAAGAGCAAGTTCCAGAAATGGAATGAATGAATTTTGGCCTCATGAAGCAACATAAGCACATGGATCAAACCATCATATTCATACCAAACACCAACATGTATTGTTGTTGGGAAGAATTATAAATGAATAATTTAACTGCTCAGACAATTGTGGAAATGTATAGCCTACAACTTTTGTACACGAACATTCTTTTTTGCCTTTCTAATGATTGTTTGACAGTGCAGAGACTCCCCATGACACAAAATTTTGGAATGTAAAAGATAACAAATTAAGAAATAAGCCTAAGAATCAATTGGAGGAAGGGAAAGAAGAAGCAAGAAGAATAAAAAGAAAAATGAGAAAGAAGCTGCTTCCATTCTACATTGATCAAATGGTGCTATATTTCACTGATCTCACCCTCTTTACATAAACCAACATCTATCACCATCGTCCCTTTCTTCTTTGACTCCAGAACCCTGCAACAATTTCTTCTCGGAGACTGCCAATACACACACACGAAAACAAAGCAAAAGAAAACACATTGATCAGTTTTCGATTTTATAGTACAGTTCACGGACATCAAAGAGGCGGTGGTGAATTGTAGTGCAACAGTGAGTGTCGAAAATAACAAGTTCAATGGTGATAGTTTTGGAACAAAGGAAGCAATACAAGCTCTTGAAAAATACTTACTCTCTCCCATAGATGCGGGTCAGGCTTCTTGTGAACCTCGACTTTGTCAAGATCAGCAGGATCAGCCATCTTCCACTTGCAGTGGGGATGAGGGACACGATGCTGGACGTACTCACTGATTGTTGAATTCATCGTAGCATTAACTCTTACCTTTGACATATAAAATACAAATGGTTTCTGGCAAGGGTTTCGGCTAACTGGACGAGTGTTGAATGCATATGCTGTGTAATCTGCTCTTTTGTACCAATTCAAAAACGTTCGTGAAGGCATTTCCATCTCACGGGGTGAAAAGACTCCTCGAAAAATTTGAACAGCAAATCCCCAAGAAACAGAAATGGTCCAACTCTTTGACTTGTCATAGCAGATGGATTGTTGCATGATTCCTGCTGAGTCCAGCTTCACTGGTACAAGAAGCCGCTGAAGGGCTTGAACGCGGGTTGCGTTGGGGAAGATGGGCTCAACCACATCAAGGTGATGCATTGTCACTAAGGGTGCCACCGGATGTGCTGCAAGGAGCCCGAACAGGTTGCCATACACATCATACTGAGAGCCATTGATAAGAAAGACACTCACCGTAAGTTCACACAAGATTGATATGAATCTAAAATCTAACCCTGAAAAAAAAAACATTACTAGCAAAGGAATGTACAAGCACACTGCTGCTAATTCAATCAACCCCTAAAACTAGGACCTCATTTTGCAAACTAGAGATGAGGCTCTTGCTCTATTTAGTACACAAATTGGAAGAACCGCCCAGTGGAAATTGGAAAACTAGACTCAATTTTTCTTAACCAAAGCCTACACAACTACCAGTCTACCACTAAGTGCCAATTCCATAAACGTTTCACAATTCGGGCCTTGTGGGCAACAAAAATAGGACGGCTTCAGAAAGTAACATATGAGGAAGAATCGCTCAGAAGCGTAAAAATTGGGTCCCATTTTAGCTGTCTCCATTGCAAAGCCAAAAGCAATACCATTCCAGAACACCATGTTTAATCTGACCCCCAGATTCTCCCAATAGAATTTAAAGAAAAAAAAAGTAAAAAAAATACCGAAATCGACATTCACTAATGAACTCCCTCACTTGCCAAAATGAAAGCTACATTCATTCAAAGCACAATACATACTGGATTATACCGGCTTGCAACAGATTTGAGTCATTTGACAGTGCCGGTCATGATTATATGCCAAAATTGAGCTTAAAGTCACTCAATGTAAAAGAAAAATACCGACTGTAAAAAAATGGACCACAAGAAAATTTTACCCTTTTTCCTTTTTCTTTAACAAGAAAAAGAGGAATAATAACTACCCCATAATTGGGTTGGCAGAAATTGAAGTTTTCCATTCAATGTTTTGACTGTACAATGCTCAGCAAAGGAGCGTGACGTCCACGACCAACAACTGCTCGTGGGGCAAGAAGTTTGATTTCTGCGTGTAGTGAGCTGTGAGACAAAAACCTGGTCTAATCCTTTACACACGGGGGCCCCATCCCGTCACCTTCGACCCGCGAGCATTGACAACATTGAGCAAATCACCCGCTTGATGTTGGGTTGGATCCCGTCAAAACCAACGTTTGGTTTATAGACCAATATTATGGTCTAGCAAACCGACACAAATCAACTATTCGGCTGATATTTCCCGAAACCGGAAAGTAACGTATCGGGAACGGAATTATCGAACTAAGAAGATGATTAACAGACGCACGCTTTAATTAATGAAACTCAGTAACTTAGTAGGGAAGCCTAATTAAATGCACCTCCATAATTAAAAGCAAAAGAGACACAACTCGGCCCAACCGACATTGACCCTAATTCGTATCGGTCGAAACTCTGAAATCTTCGTAGATTTCAGGTCTAATCCTACATTCCATTGCTGGAATTCAACCTGGGATTTCGAATTCAGAAAAAACCCAGATAAAATCAAACACGAATTAAAAACAAAAAAAAAAAAAAAAAAAAAAAAAAAAAAAAAAAAACCCAAAACCCATTAGTGTACGGACCTGGTGAAAGCCGAGTTCTTTAGTGAGTGGGACACCGAGTTCCGCCATGCAAGCCTGCATTCGGTCATCGGAGCCGTACAGTCCCGGGTACCTCTGTATGCACCGGTCTTGCATTTTGCTCAGAGCTTTAGCCAATGGGTAGCTGATGGCGAAGCCGCCGCCGCCGTAAGCCATGCCGTACGAGAAGAAGATGTTCTGCAAGTGGCTCTCCGATAAGCTCCCGATATAATAGTACTGCGTGTGGTCGTATTTCCTCAGGACCCTCACGAGATTGTCGGTGATGAAAACGGTGTCGTCGTCCCCCATTACGAACCACCTCACGTCCTTGAGCCCAAGACGCAGTGTCTCGGAGACGATCCGAGATATCCGAATCGCGGACCGGTGCCCCTGTTTGTTAGTGTACGCGAACCCGGAGGTGTCGCCGGAGATTTTAATAGGCGGGAGGCCGAGGCCTTCAGGGTTTTTATCCTCTACTCGGCGGTCCAGCCAAACTATGCCTCTCATCGACTGGGGCTTGTACCAGAGCTTGATGTAGTTCTTCCTCTGTTTCCAAAGCTTGGCGGAGGCGGCAATGCCGAATACGATGTCGTTTATCTCCGTCGGGTGGTTTTCGTTTATGGGTTGGTGGGTTTTGAGCTGGAGAACCTCGGCCGTCCGATCTTGGACTGTTGTGATGTTGGTGGCAGTGGCAGTGGCGGTGGAGGAGGAGAGGCGAACGGGGTTAAATGGGTCATTTTCATCGGAGCAGGCGGCTCGGGAGGTGGAGACGAGCTTGAGCGTGTAGACGATGTAAGTGAGAGAGACGCAGAGGATGAGCCAGACGAGGAGTTTAGGGGTGGCTCGAGATTGAGAGCCGGGTCCAGGAATTGGGGTCCCTGTGGAGCTGCGCATCTGATCCCAAATTACTTTCTCTTGATCTTTCTGGCTCGCTTTCATTTTTCTCAAGCCCACTGTAGCTCCAAGCTCAACCCTTTTCACTACTCTCTCTCTCTCTCTCTCTCTCTCTCTCTCTCTCTCTCTCTAATTGCTGAAAGTAAACAAAAAAAATCAGGGGTTCTGCAACATTGGTGTTGGAGATTGGAGAATCTTTGATCCCTTTTGGAACCCAATTGGGGGAAATGAATGAGGGACTCAGATCTCTCTGGAATTTCAATCAGTGGTGGTTAAAGATTGGAACTTTATGGAGAAAAAAATTGGAGATCAATGTGAATGAGAGAAACCCAGTTGGGGAAAATGGGTTAGGAGTTTTGCAATTCAAGGCAATGAGAGTGAGGAAGAAGATGAAGATGAGTTAGATGATGGTGTTGTTGTTGATGTTGTTGCAGAGAGGTAAAGGTGAGAGCTTGCATTGCTGCCAGGTTGCAGAAGGCTCCACACCCCCGAATAGAGCTACACCGGATAAATAAATATTTATGTTTATTTTTACTTTTGATTGTTTTGCAACATGGAGGAGAGTGAGATGGGAGTGATTTGTGTCTGAGTGTTCAGATCTATGTAGCGTGTGAATACGAGAGAGGTGGAATGTTTGGGGGAGTCGGATCTTCTAATATTTGGGTCCCACTGGAAAAGAAGACAGTGGAGATTCAATCGCCGTTTGGGTTGGGTTAGGTCACTTGCATCTTGGTTTGGGCGGTTTGGGTCAGCCTCACTGAGATGAGAGAATAAATCAACACTAAAAAAAATATTACAAAATTACACACGTATCCAATAAGGGCCTGAAATTTGTTTAGTACACTAATCTAAAGATATCATGTGCCTTATCTTGGCCTAATGGCCTGATTATACTTTTGGTTTAATCTGTAAGACTATAGTATTTTGGCAATGGTAAACTTGAACCCCACACTGACTCTTTACCTAGTACACTCTTTAGTAACGGAATTCAGTGCACATTTTTACCGAGTACAAAACTGGCAGGGAAATGATACCTAGTATATTGTAAAATTAATGGTTGACTTTACATTTGTGAATACCGATTTTATGAAACATGTAGAAGAGATAAAAACTAATTGACCCTATTACACTGCTAATTAAGTTTAGTGCAAATCCGACAATCTAATCAATGAGAATGAGCAGATATGGGCTTAGCCAAATTAGTTAGAGCGGATGTACTCTTCACTCTGCACCCGAGTTTGAATTCCCCTTAATATAGTTTAAATTATTTTAATACATAATATCACTTGTATAAAAAAAAACAAGGAAAATGAATATTTTTCCATAACATACAATTTTAGTCTCTTTACATGCATAGAATATAGGGCTCCTACTATTCTATCACGTACCTACTAAGCTATGTTGACTTTGATGGTTTGAGAGTTCTTGGAAGACACCTCTACCACACTGACGTTTTGCAACCTTCAACTTGTTTACTGTGACATATGATACAAAAAATTGATCTTGCTTGTGGAGATTTCTCATCACAAAAAAAATTATACACTATTTTTTAGTCTTTTATAATATAATCAATCTTTGCTTTGCGGAGATTTTCCTTATACTAAGAGAAATTCTCAATTTATAGTTCATGTGACATGAGATGAGCGGAGTGAAATCTTTGTATTATAATATGATCGGAAATTGAACTACAACTACTATCCTCATAAAGTTAACCAAGTGGATTTTCAATTTAATCATTTTTTACATAGATAATTCTTGAAAGAAAGAAAAAAAACCTAAAACATGAATGATTCTGATTACGGTTTAAAACTAAGATATCTTTATTTGAGAAAAGCAAAGATAGAGAAAGGCTCCACGCCAAAAAATAGAAAGAAAAATAAAATAAAAGACCCTTTCATTTTATTTGCTGGCTATGGGGTTCGAACCCATGCGCACTTATGTGCAGAAGATCTTAAGTCTTCCCCCTTAACCTCTCGGGCAAACCAGCTTGGATACCATCCCATATGTATTTGGTGAATGGTGCATGACTCATTTTTATTAATCTTATAGTAAATGGTTGATGTTTTTGAAAATAAATTAATAAATCAATGATTTAAACCTAATTAATAAAGGATAATGCTCCCCTTCTTACCCATAAGGAGGAACTCCTCCTTGCATATTGACGCGGCTCAGTCACAATCTGACACGTGTCTCTTTTGTTAGGAATAATTAAAATGAAAAATAAATGCACCTTTGAAAATGATTAAAAAAGAAAAAAGATGTGTTATATTGTGGTTGAGCCACATTTATAGGTAATGATGAACTCCTCCTAACGAGCAAGGAGGAAAGCATTATCCTTTAATAAATGCGATAGCACATACAAAAGCACAACCCTTTCAAAGATTTTATTGTATATAATAGACCAGCTACTAGCCAAAACCTTACTAAAGCACCGTCATATGACATCTCAGACCACGTAGTTCTGCGACTACCCTCATAAAGACTAGACCTGCTTATATTTTGGTATCACATAACTCATTCATGACACCATCCATGTGAGTGTGATACCATATACACCAATCGCGCGGAAGAATCGCTTGCATTCAAATCTTTGTTGCCTTCATTTTGCAGTAGAACTACTAGTCTACTACTTACATATTACATGGCAGTGATTTTTCAGCTGAAAGAAAAAAGAAAGAACCACATTGATCCACAACCTCAACCTTAAACAAACAAGAAAAATGAGAATCAATATTTTGATATGGACTGGCTCTTTGATAATGATATCTGCAGGAGGAATATTTGTCAGTAGCATATATGGGCTTAGTCAAGTTGATTAGAGCGGATCTGCTCTCCACTCATGCACTCGAGTTCGAATCCCTATTCTTATAATTTAAATTAATTTAATATAGAATATCACTTGTATAAATAAAAAAAACAATGAGAATGAATATTTTTCCATATATAACATACAATTTTAGTCCCTTACATGCATACAATAAGTGCTCCTACTATTCTATCACGTATCTACTAAGCTATGTTGACTTTGATCGTTTGAGAGTTCTTGGAAGACACCTCCACCACATTAACGTTTTGCAACCCTCAAACTTGTAGGTCTTTTGCTTGTTCACTAGGGACATATGATAAAAAAAATAAAAAAATAATCTTGCTTGTGGAGATTTCTCATCACCAAAAAAAAATTATACACTACTTTTTAGTCTCTTATAATATAATCAATATTGCTTTGTGGAGATTTTCCTTATACTAAGAGAAACTCTCAACCTATATCTCAAGTGACATGAAAATGAGCAGATTGAAATATTCGCATTATAATATGATCGGAAACTAAACTACAACTACTATCCTCATAAAGCTAATCAAGTGGATTTTTAATTTAATTATTTTTACATAGATAATTCTTGCCAAAAAAAAAATGAACCTGAAAAAAATGAACGATTCTGATAATTAGATTACGGTTTAAAAATAAGATATATTTATTTAAGAAAAATAAGGATAGAGAAAGGCCTCACGCCAAAAAAGAAAAAAAAAGAAAAACCTTCCATTTTATTTGCTGGCTATGGGGTTCGAACCCATGCGCACTTATGTGCAGAAGATCTTAAGTCTTCCCCCTTAACCTCTCGGGCAAACCAGCTTGGTTACCATCCCACACGTATTTGGTGAATGATGGATCACTCATTTTTATAAATCTTATAGTGAAGGTTAATGTTTTTAAAAATAAATTGATGAATCAATAATTTAAACCTAATTAATAAATGTGCCTTTTAAAGATCTGATTGTATAGAATAGACTAGCTACTAGCCAAAACACCGCTAAAGCACCCCCATATCTCACTCAAATCACATCGTTTGTCCTTTAGCTAAGCCTTGAAAATATAATTAGAAGTTTGATTTCCCCTAAACGCCGTATTAATCTCTGATCATTGTGACATCTCAGATCACGTAACTCTCCGATTACTTTTTTGTTGTTGTTACATTGGGAGGAAAGAAACTCATTGGAATTTCGAATCTGAATGTCAAGCAGGGGGAAGGGGGAGGCCACTACCTGCTATCGACACTCTCCGACTACTTTCATAAAGACTAGAGGTGCTTATAATGTGGTATCATATGACCCAGTCGTGATACCATCCTTGTGAGTGTGATGCCGTATACACCAGTCGCACAAAAGAATCGCTATTGCATTCAAATCTTTGTTGCCTTCACTTTGCCGTAGGAATATCTGTCAGTTGGGGTGGCTGCCATAATAATAATATATTCCAATGCTGTTAACGGCCAGTACGTTCTATCAATGGGGACAAAGGAAAACCAAATCCCCACTCTTCTACAACAATCTAACCTATCCTTGAGCTCTGCATGGACCAAAATGGCAGAAACCAAAATCCAGGAAATAACAGATAAGAACAAAAGTTTTGCACAAGCCAAAGACAGTGCCCGTGAAGAATCTGTGCAAGCTTAATGATTATATCGATTTATTATTTTGTCTCTCTCTCTGTGCAGCCTGTCTCTCCTCTTCAATTTGAATTTCTGTGGAACATTTGTTGGTGTGGTGAGTGGGAAAGTAGTTGATGATGTGGGTAAACATTGTATCTGGATATTGAGCATCAACCCTAAGATTGACTTGATGGTGGGGCAAAAATTCTATTACCATATGATCAGTAAAAGGAATATCCACATCATCCATAACTTCGTCTGTTGATTTTAGCCTCGTGCGCGTGTGAGGCTCACAATGCATTAACGAGCACCCTCACCAACCATTGCATAATTCTTTAAGAAGCAATCTCATAAAGTGGATTGTATTAGTGACATACTTATTTAGTACACTTTGCTTAAAAAAGTTCTGTTAGCACCAAATCTGAATGATGAAATTGGAGCAATAACCGTGGATGGTGCATAATTGGATGTATACTAAACTACTCTATCTGTTGCCTTTTCTGTTTTTCTTTTTTCTGAACCAAAATGATTGTAGATCAGTTTGATATATTATGTTTCGAATCACACTATCATACAACCAGAAAATACTTTTTTTTGGTCAAAAAAATAGTGGCAAAGTGTGCAACCACTCTGAGCTGGAAAATGTTTACGGTAAAACCAAAAAAATACTTTTCAATAATAATAACCTGTCATATGCAATTCAAATATAGGTCAGCAAAAAAAACAAAAAAAATAAAACTAGTCTCGTGAAACATGTCAAACAACAAAAGTTTCTTGCAGTAAACGTTTGGTTCAAAATTGCCTGTGGGATATAAACGATATTCTGAACTAAAAAGGAGGGAAATTTCTCATACATAAATATGGAGCAACACCATTGATTATAAGTTTGAAAGTTTTACAACATTACTCAGTGCACCACCTCTTGATTTCTTTGACAAAATGGAGGGTGAAGAGTAATTCTCCACTCCACCAATCAATTGCTATTTATTCCCTTCCTCAAATGGGCAGGGCAAAGGAGTGGAAAGAAAGGATATGATTGGTTTGCATCTCACCACTTGAGTAAAATTATATGCCCAACCAAATGACACATTTGTTTGACATAATTTCGTGTTACCCACTAATATCATTCTTCTTTTTGGTTTTTAAGTCTGATAACATCAACAAACTTGACGGTGGGATGTGGTTAATGGATATAAATCTTCTCTTTGTCATGGCCATTCTTGGCTTATAATCCAAGTGGTCCATTAAGAGGACAGCTTGGATTGGAAGTGAAGGGTACTGAAGACAAAGAGATAATCCGACTCTTATTTGTATTAATATCCGACTCTTATTTCACTATCATATTTACTGATCATCTCTATTATAAATGTAGATCCGACTCGACAACCTCAATTACAAGAGTAATTCTTTACGTAAAACCAGTTGTAGACAATATAAATTACAATTCACAAAGGTGGATATTGGTCAATAAGGTGGTCAATATTTACTAATTTACTAAGAGCATCTCCAACCGATGTGTCAAATGTGCCACATAGACATTTAACAGCTAAAAATAACATCTCACATCACTCCAACCGATATGTCAAAGCTTATGTGGAATGAAGGCTGGAGGTTGAGATGTTATTTTTGACATCCCAAAAGCAAGATGTCAAATGAATATTTTATTATTTTTTCTTTTCTTTTCTTATTAATTAAAAATGAATCAACACTAAAATGTAATAAAGTAATAATTTAATTTGACATATCGGGTGGAGTATAAAGTTGTGCAAGATGTCAAATTGCCACATCAGTCATCAAATTTAAATTTGATGTTTGGTATTTGACATCTCCCTTGGAGATGCTCTAAGAGCATTTCCAACTGACGTGTCAAAAGTGCCACATAGACATTTAACAGCTAGAAATAACATCTCACATCACTTCAACGGATATGTCAAAACTTATGTGGAATGAAGGCTGGAGGTTGATATGTTATTTTTGACATCTCAAAAGCAAGATGTCAAATGAATGTTTTATTATTTTTTAAAAATAGCTGGCTGTTACTTTCATTTATTATTTTCTTATATTATTTTGTTTTCTTTTTTATCTTAAATGATTTGACTGTTACAATAATTATTTATTTGACATATCGGGTGGAGTGTAAAACTGTGTAAATGTCAAATTGCCACATCAGCCATCAAATTTAAATTTGATGTTTGGTATTTGACATCTCCCTTGAAGATGCTCTAACTCCAATTTCTATAGATATGTATATTCTTTTCTAAAATAAAAATTAAAAGAAAAAGGAAAGTTGCAAGCTTTACATGTAAGGCTTTGGCCCAAAAAACCAGGGCTTCATAGAAAAGAAAAGCCCACCATTCTTTCTTTTCGATACATCAAAGCTTTTTAGCGGGAATGAAGAAATCTCTGGACGCAAAAGCAGAGGAAGCTTCATTTTCAGCAAAACCATGAATGAAGAAGCTCATCGTACACCAACCTATCAGAGCCTTACTGCGTCAAGGTCTCTACCCAGAAGCCCTCCAAGCCTCCACATCAACCTCACCTCTCAACCCATTTCTCACAAACCAAACCTACGCTCTTTTTCTTAAGTCGGGTCACCGCCTCGACCCCTTCCTCGCCTCAGCTGTCATTTCCCAATTTGCCAAATTGGGTCTCTTTTATCACGCGCTTCAGTTCCTCAACGACACCCCTGACCCGGATACAGTCTCTTACAACGCCCTCATTGCTGGGTTGGCCCGCTCCGGCCGACCCGGACCCGTTTTCGATCTCTTTGATCGGTTGAGGCATGTGGGTCTCAGGCCTGATGCTTTTACATTGAGTTCTTTGGTGAAGGCTTGTGATGGTTTGGAAGAGAATGAGATTGCCCATGGGGTTTGTTTGAGGTTGGGGCTTGGCTATGGAGGTTTTGTGGTTAGTGGGTTGGTTGAGAATTATATGAGGAATGGGGCTGTTGGGTCGGCTGAGAAGTGTTTTAGGGAGTGTTTGGTTGTGGACAATGTGGTTTGGACTGCTATGGTTTCTGGGTATGTTTGGAGTTGTGAGTTTGAAAAGGGTAGGGAGGTTTTTGTGGAGATGAGGGGTTTGGGTTTGGAGTTGAATGAGTTTAGCTTGACTGCTGTGCTTGGTGCATTGTTTGATGAGAAAGAGGGGGAACAGGTTCATGGGGTTGGTGTCAAAATGGGATTTTTATGGGGGTGTTCAGTTCATTTGAGTAATGCAATTATGAATATGTATTCTAGGTGTGGGAATAAGCAGAATGCCGCAAAGGTTTTCGATGAAATTACTGACCCGGATGTTGTTTCTTGGACTGAAAGGATAGGAGCTGCTTCTGATGGTGTGGAAGCTTTAGAACTGTTCAAAATTTTGCACTCTGGGGATTTGAAGGTAAATGAATATACAATTATAAATGTATTATCAGCCATTGTAGGGCTGGGGATGTTAAATCCCGTTAAGCAAGTCCAAGCACTTTGTCAGAAGCTGGGGTATTTACGGGTGGTTTCTGTTGGCAATGTGTTAATATCCATGTATGGGAAGTGTGAGCAGATTGGTGATGCTAGGTCCATATTTGATGACATGCTTTGCCGAGATTCTGTCTCTTGGAATTCTTTGATTGCTGGATATTCTGAGAATGGACTTGTTACTCAGGCTTTGGAGGTACTTCGTTGCATGCGTGATATCTCATTACAGCCTAATGGGTATACTTTGGCTAGCCTTCTTGAAGTCGCCTCGAACTTGAATGCCCCAAGGCTGGCAATGCAAATCCATTCACATGTGATCAAAATTGGGTTCATGGTGGATGATCGTGTGGTGGCTTGCTTGATAGTGACATACGGGAAATGCAATTGGATTGATGAATCAAAAAGGATATTTTATGATATTAACAAGATAAATTTGGTACTTCTTAATGCAATGGCAACTAGTTTTGTCCGTTCCGGTTGTCATGCTGATGCTATCAATTTGTTCCATATCTCGAGGGGCTTGAAACTTGAAGTGGACAGTTCAACTTTCAGTACTGTCCTTAAAGCTTGTGGTGCTATAACTGAGTTGGAACAGGGAAGAGTGATTCACTCCCTGGCTCTTAAAACTGGATTTGATCAAGGGAGCTTTGTTGAAAGCGCTATTATTGATGTTTATTGTAAGTGTGGAAGCATAGGTGACGCAGAGAAGGTGTTTAGACATGCTTCCACAAACAATTTGGCTTCTTGGAATGCGATGGTAATGGGATACGCTCAACATGGTTTTCATGATGAAGTTTCGGAAGTATTCAACAAGTTGTCTAAGTTTGGAGTAAAACCAGATCATATAACTTACCTGGGAGTTCTTACTTCATGTTGCCACGCAGGTCTTTTCAAAGAAGCTTTTAGTTACTTAAACTCAATGCTTGAGCGTGATGATTTAATGCCACATATAGAACACTATGCCTGCGTGGTCGACCTACTTAGTCGACTTGGACTCCTGGAAGAAGCAAAGAGGACCATTGATCAAATGCCCATTTGCCCTGATGCTCATATATGGCAGATTCTTCTATCGGCCTGTAACATCCATAAAAACATGGACATGGGGAGAGTCGCAGCACAGAAGCTTCTTGAGTTGGAGCCTGACAATGAATCTGCTTATATTTTGCTTTCAAATCTCTATGCCTCAGCTGGTATGTGGAGTGCTGTTGGAAAAGTGAGAAAGGAAATGAAGGAAAAAATAGTCTACAAAGAGCCTGGTTCTAGTTGGCTTCAAGTTGGAGGACTGCTTCATTACTTTTTAGCTGACGACAAATCACATCGTGATAGTAGAGAAATACATACGGAGCTAATAAAGTTGTATCGGCAAATGTCAGTGACATCAAAATTGGAAAATGACGGTCCAAGTTTAATGATCTATGACTTATAAAAACACATCATGAGAGTAAAAACATAAGTATTGAGCCATTCACATTGCTTGCTTGGCTACCCCTTCCGGCATCCTCTGGATTGACAAGTGAAGTACTTGCCATCTGATCAGGTTAGTTTTTCAATTTATGAAGTCCAGTCACATATGCTCTTGCGTTTAGTATTAGACCATATTGCGAGGTTTTACTATTTTATCCAAATATGCACATGCCTTCTTCCTTTTTGTTTGCACCCCCTCCAATCTCTATATAACATTGCTCATCAATTCTCTGTTCTTGTTATGGATTGTATAAACAATTATTAACCTGCTTTCCAAGGTTATTTTCCATTGCTTCAACAGTTATAACAATCAAACTTATAATATTGTCATGTTCTGCTTACATTGTGAATTGTGGCCTTGTAAGTGTTTAAAACTACAAATGAATTTAGAATCTTTGACACGAAAATATGCTTGAATGTTGGTTTCTGTTGTATAATCTGTGCCACTCGTGAAAGCCAGATATAGCTATTTCGTTGTCATTTTATTGTTTTTTTTTCTTTCTTTTCCCCAGTAAATTACTATATGAGACTAGAAACTATCAATTGAGCTTGAACGGAATGAGAAAAACAAAATGATATAAGAAGAGCTAAATACATTAAGAAGGCAGTGATCAACTGATCATACATTTTTAGAGAATGATATGAATCTACAATTTCTACCGATCTTGCTCTCACTAAAAATGGGTTTTCCTGCTGCGCTGTTTGCGATCTGAAGAGGCTTTGGAGAGCACAGAGACTATGGAATGAATGGCATTTGCAGCTATTCTTGATTTTATCTGTCCCCGCTTTGGAAGAGGCTTTCTGCTTCTGAAGCTTTTGGCAATTTCAGCTGCAGGAACATCAGAGACCTTGCTATTCATTTTGTGATTTGAGGAAATGTCGAATTTTCTTTTCTTTTCTTTTTTGCTTTAAGACTGCTTTTTTGTTTGATGGATGTGGATAGAGTGGCATTGGTTGGGAGTTTATATAGAGCTCATTGTATCATCGAAGGATGGGGGTGGATTGATCCGGGAAGATCAGAGAAGGCTAGAAACAAGCTTTTTCAGACTGGTGTTTGTTAGGGGGCATGCCAGCGAGATTGTCTGGCTGTACAGAGATTCTTTTCAGCTCAACTTGAGACAATATAAATTTGTGTGATGATTTGGTGACTGATTATGATTGATTAAGAGTATTATCCATAGTTTAATGCAAATGATTGGTTTGAGCTTGTCTTAACTGGAACACGTGCGGGTTATGTAGGAGCTCTGGTGGACCTTGAGGCTGGTCCCTGGTTTTCTTTAGTGGATATGCTGAAGGGACTAGGGGAAGACAGACTTTAAAACAGTGGTAAGAATTTAATGGTTTTTTATATTATGTTTTTGTCCATGTTAACGGATGATTATATAATTTAAAGGCAAGTTGTGCGGATAACAGGGAGCAGAGCATAATCCATTCATGTACATTTGTAAATTGTTTTCTTCTAATGAATGTCCTTGTTTTCAGGGAGACCTTCTTGGAAATGTCAAACGGCCATTCTAGTACCTACAGGTGAAGCTATCTTGTTCTATTATTTGAATATGTTTGTTTTTTGGTCGAATTATTTGATTATGTGTGTTGTTGTATCACATGCTTGAGTAGATTGATCCCCTAGGAAAAAGTCAAGTGAGAGAGAGAGAGATGAAAATGATGAAGATTGTGACTGTTATTGATACTCATTCCTTATCATACCATAAATGGAAAATAGTGAGAAGATCCATGGAATAAGAAAAAAGATTTGAGGTTATGCTGCTGTATGAAATACTTCACATGTGCTTGTGCTTCAGTACCCTGCAGAAACCTAAATAAAAAAATAAAAAAGAAGAAAGAAGTTTCCTCATCGCTTTGGTTCTATCTCTCAGACATGTGCACTGAATCAGTGAATCATCATTCAGACAAAATTTAACTGAAGCAGTGATTTTGATTAACAGTGTCTGTTTGATAATTTTCTCGTCATATTATGTAAGCTACGAATATGTCGGCATATAGTTGTGCCCTAACAACCATATGAATATAGATGACATGTTTTGGGGAAGAACACATTGCAATCGGCAACTAAGGGCTCCCAACCAACCATGTCCACCTAATTTCAGACTGTATTTTCATTTTTCAGTAAACAATTGCAGAATGATTGATTTCCAAGATGGCAAGACCTAAGCCCCTATGAAGTTAGGGCATCTAGGCATACATTGGGGTATCTAGGCCCATCCAATTCCCTGTCATGCTTCTTAAACCTCCACATCTTGCTGCAATAGTGCAATTGGTTAGGGTTGTGGTAGGGTTTGGTTTGGGCAGCTTATATATTTCTTTTGCCTATGTATACGACGTCAATCAATTCAAGAAGCAAAGATTCCATTTTGAATTCCAATTTATTAAACGTCTTGGAACATATAAACGTCTACACATAAAGAATTGCTAATTATAACAGGTGTGACACTATTCACATAGGGTTGCCAATATATTCCCATTGAACAATGTGGCACAAGTATCTTAGTATTTGTTTCATATTTTATGTCTAGTACTTTGTTGATCACATACACAAGGTAAATTCGATAATGAATAATATAATCAATAACTGTGATACAAATAGTTTTATTTTTATCGACTCGTTGTTATGCTTCAATGCTATATCATTGAGAAAAAAATATGATTCACTATTACTAGCAAAACCCGGGTGATGCCTGATGCGGTGATACTTAGATTTCATACCAAGGCACAAATATAGGCAAAGCAATCTAATGGAACTAAAACCATGTGGAGATTCCTAGGTTAAGTTAGTGGTGCAAATGTCGCTTTATTCTTTCCTCTATTCTGTCACACTAGTCCCTTGTACATATGAATGCTACATGATAATTGTTTGCTTCTCTCTCTCTCTCTCTCTCTCGTTTCAACTTTGGCAGAAGGCAATGGCTACTGTTCTCAATTTCTCAGGCAAAACACCAAGTCAGAGAATGTGCCTCAAACCAATGGCAGGGCCAGCCATTAGTTCCATGGCCATTAAAAGAACATGCCAATTTGAGCAGAACAAAAGAGATGCTCTGCAACATTGCATCTACGTGAAAAGGAAGGCAGAAAATAAACAGTTAAATGACCACAGGCTCTTTCCTGTCATGGCAGCAGTACAGAGAAGCTCAGGCATATATCCAAGTTCTCCTTCCCCATCAGACACAATCAAGAAATTCTACAAATGCATCAACGAGAAAAACTTAAAGCAACTAGGAGATTACATCTCAGAAGACTGCTACATTGAAGAATGCTCTTTTAACACACCATTACAAGGCAAAAAGGTCAATGATCTTTTTTCTTCTTGACAACAAGAAGATCATAGTTTTCCTTGCAACTAACATAACCTAAATTGCATTCTATGCAGGAGGTAATGAATTTTTTTGAACAGCTGATTACAGGCATGGGTCAAAATGTCAAGTTCTGCATACAACGCGTGTGCGAAGGAGATGAGCTTATAGGAGCAGCAAACTGGCACATGGGTATGTGTACTTATATATGCCATTGTCACTCCACCTGGAATAAATCTAGTCCCATTATATATCTTCTGCATCTTCAAACTGGGTTATGTTTGGTATTGCAGAATGGAAAGACAAACAGATCCCCTACACCCGAGGCTGCAGCTTCTTTGAATTCTCCAAAAAGGGGGAAAAAATAATACTCAAGTACAGAAAAACAAATGTATTTCATTGGCTTCACATTCTATTAAAGATGAACAATGCCTAACTGATTCTGATTGTCTACAGGAAAGCCCAAATTGTCATTGAATCACCAATCAAACCAGGAACTGTAGTGCTGGTAAGTCTGCCAACTACTGTCAGAAAGAATCCTTTGGCCTCTATCATCATAATAAGAAAATAAATAAATAATAATAAAGTGAATATTATTGACCATTTGATTTTGTTCATTATGTGTTTGTCCCTGTGGATCAATTCAGAGTCTGTTAAAGACAGTGACTGCACTCTTCGATGGTTTCCCAAAAACCACTGATTGTAAGCCGAATTTAACTACAAATTTCAAAACCTTAACTCATCTTATTTATATATCACAGCATGACATAACATCAAAATATTTCTCCTGCAGGGTTTCTAAAGAGTCCTCATATCGTTTTTCAATGGTTATGGAAGATATACACAATACTTTTCGCACCAATTGTAGACAGCTACTTAAGGCTTTGGAGCCTTGCAGCTCGACTGCTCAGCTATGCATACTACATTGTGCTTTACATTGCAAAGTTCTTCTTCAAGTAGAGAGGATCAGACAATGCCAGCGTTAGAAGGAAAGACAAATCACCTTTTAGTCATCATTGTTATCGCGACTCCACCACGTTTCTAGCAGAGAGAGAAGAACCAATGGTCCGAAAACCGGTGGAAGGGGCGGAGGCCTGCTGAAGGCGACAATTGGTTCGGTTTTCTCTTTTGCAACAAGTCCTCCTTCGCCAGGATCATTGTTCCCTTGTCTCTTTGGTGTTGAAGTGGCCACAGTACCTATAATTAATTACAATGTATCATATTAATCAGATAAAGAACTTGTAATGCCATACAATTATAAATTTATAAGTTATTAACTCTTATTGAAAGCATACAGAGAGAGGAGAGGAGGAGGGTGTAAATTACCCCATGACCCTTTCATAGGGTAGGCTTGTTTGAACAACTTGATCTTTGCAGGGGACAACGCAGCTAATCCACGCATGTAGGCTCTACTTTTTTGTGATCAATTCAAACAAACCCAACACACCTTGTAATCTTAAAAACACCAAAGATTATTTAGTTAGGGTGCTGATGGATTGAGTTTGATCCGTACCTGCGGTGCTTCAGTTGCTCTGCAACAACAAACGAAGAGACATAAATAGAGTATAAAAAAAACGTTGCAAAGGGTTCCAGTTCCAGATGATTTTTTTGCTTTTTTGGGCCAGACAGTTCCAGAAGATGTGGAAGCCAACTGAAGCTTCGGGAGTATTCACGTTTCGGTATCATCCACGGCACCGATCTTGGATTTTTATTTTCACCTGTTGACGCGTGTACTGATGATCCCCACTCAACGATCGCCACGTGTACAATTAAAATAGGTAAAAAAAAAACCCATTGCGGGTTTCTTTGAAGAAACGACGCGTCGTTTATATCATGAAAGAGGGGAGTTGCGCATGTGGTTAGGTCGTTGAACTCAATTTAGAGCAAATGCAAAAGCGAAAAATGAAAGTACACATTCATGGAGTGTATATTTCAGAATAGCAAGTTTGGTAGCAAGCCAGTGCTCCCCATGACGTATTGTTGATGGAGACATGGATCGTGCAAAGAAAGAGCTCTGCTATTATCGTAGTCTAATTGTTGGTCCATTTTATGAAAGTTCAATAGCTTTACGGTTAATAATGGTCTAACATAGTGATCTTTGCAAGTGGTCTTAAACTCGATTCCTATTTCATTTCTTATTGTTGGTTTGCAGGATGTAGAGTCTGACTGCAACTAGCTGTACTACTGAGTCTTGACAACTAAGTTTTTCAAGATAGTACTTGTATATCTAACATGGCTCTTGCTCATCTCCTAGAGAAGGTACATAATTATAAGTGACCATGTACATGAGCCTACAGCTAGCTGCTTACTTGATCGATCTATGACTGGAATCATGCTTGCGACTGTGTAATATATATTTCAGAGTTCATGCAGCAAGCCAGCTCAGCTGGTGTGTGCCAAATTTTCAAAGAGAGAAACGAAAACATGAATGACAAACAGACCTCAGGTCCTTTACAGCAATTCCAAAAACAGCCAACTTATCAGCAGCACATAATATACAACAAGGATGTTAATTTCCATGAAATTAAAATCTTCTGCCTAACAATTACAACAACTTTTCACATATGTAAAGTCTAACTTGATCACCTGTAAAGTCCAAGCAGATAGTACGTTTTATCATAAAAGACCTCGTTGGTGTTAGTAGAGTCACTCACTTGTATATTAGATTTCATTTTATCATATTTATGATAATAGTTCAATAGATGGCAGCTTGTGATAAATAATGATAATTTTTAGTTTGGTAGACCGTTTAAGTTAAGCTTGTACGAATTGTTAGGTTACTTTGGATTTCAAAATCTTAACATGATGGGAAACGACTTAGCATTTAAAAAAAAGTAGAGACAATATTCATGTGACCTAAACATAGGCCATTACTTACAATTCATGCATACATGTACCGACAGGATGTTATAATCATTTTCTAAGTTTTGTTAACCAACGACCGAAGCGAGATTTGAGAACAGAAATACTACTAGACAAATAGTTACTTGAGCTTCACATCTTATTATGCATTGGTGTTCTTTGGATGAGATGATTGAAGAACAAAGAATTTTAAGTAGTGAAATTTTCTTAATTAGATTTACATTTTTAGGAGCTTTTAGTCAATTTTGATGGTGGATAGGTTCCTACACGTCGACAGTATTTGTCCTTGAGCAGTTTCTTGCACGTCTGCGGTTGCTGGTTTGAAGAAGTCTCTCACTCCTCCCTTTCTATGAGCTTCGACAAAATGAAGCAATCACTAGTATTTAAAAATTCAGAAAATTCAAAAAAACAATATCAACTTTTGGATTTCTTAGTTCTGCGCTGGACTTCCTTTTCCAATTCTTCCATGCCCCCGACCTCCTCTATTTCCTACATACATCATATCAAACAATTACTACTTCATTGGAAATTAAGAACCTTTGTTTCAAAGCAAGAGAGGCTTGAAAATTTTACCTTGGGTCCCAAGAACAACCCATATGGCACTCCATTCAATATGCAAGAGTGATGAAGCTATTCAAATTCACAAGAAATAATCAAAACCCAAAAAGAATGGCAATGTCAAGAACAAAAAATGGGCAAAGAAAGTCAGAGTAATTTACATAATGGGCTGCAGCAACTTTTTGTAAATAAGGGACGTCTGCGATTGGCCCAACTGGAAATCTACGGTGCACAAGACCATCATGCACAAACATGTAGGCCATCCCAAAAGTTGTTATTCCTAATCCCTGTACCCAAAACAAACAAACAAAAAACTTGGTTAACTAACTATTTTTCTAGTTTTTCTTACATAAGAAAGTGATTGACTGATACCGGATATCAATATACAGTATTATTGATGTTATGGATTAAGTACGGGTAAATTATTTTATATCTATATATACAAAACAAAAGGCAGAGAATTGTGAAACATTCAAAATATCAGAAAATACCCTTGATTAATTCAAACATTAAGAATTGAAATTATTAATTCAATGAAGATAATATGGTAAATTCACATTTTTTCATATTAAAAAATTAAAATTAAAAACAAAATCAAATAATAGTTCCTACTTTTATGGAACATAATTATCCATGTTATATTCATTCTAAAAAAAAAAAAAAAAAAAAAAAAAAAAAAAAAAAAAAAAAAAAAAAAACAATTCGGCACATGGCTGTGAGCATGTGCCAAGGGGCTAGTGTGTGTGTGTATATATATATTATTTATATATTTGGGAAATACTTACAGCACCAAAACAGAGTCCTGGAAACAAACCCTTGTTGAAGAAACCATAAGAGAGAAGAGCAGTTGCAGGAACAACATTGATTATGGCAAAGATATCGTTGAGCTCGAAAGGGCCATCCCTAGGTTGGTGATGAGACTGCAAATAATCAAACAAAATTAAAAGATCCTCAAAACCAATCTTCCTTGTGAAAATTTAGATTAGAATTGGAAATTATATATAAAACTGACCTCATGCATATGAAACATTGAAGCATGCCACAAAGCTCTATGAGCCCACCTTGCCCAAAACTCCATGCCCACCTTTGAAACAAACACAAAGCAAACAATTCAAATTTTTGAGCTTCCTTGGAAAACAAAGATTTCCCATCAATGAAATTGCCATGGTTTTCATAATCCATTACTTACAGCAGAGCCCACAGAGAGAGCAAATGTACACAGCATTTCAGGAAGGATATATTCTCCAAACTGTTTGATAAAAAATTGATCAAAACCCGTGTCAAGAGAAACAACAAATACATAAAGAAATAGAATTTAATTAATTTTCATTACCTCTGTTTGCCAAGAGAATCTGTAATATACAGCCATGGCGGCAGCTGAAGTAACTCCAAGGCTGGACATGATTGCAGCAACAAGGTAGGTGTTTTTTTCTGATCTCTTTCTCTCCAATCTCTCTGCCACACGTGGCGTTATCACAGTCCACCTCTCTGTGTTCGTCTCTTCTAAGGCTTTGATCTTAACTTGTAGTTTATGATCCTTCTCTGTTTTCTTTTCCATAACCAAGCGCAGAACATTCCATCTCTTCTTCTTCAGGTGGGTTGCTGTTGAGGAAGCTAAAACAGAAGAGGGGGTTGTTTTGGAGATGGGTTTTCGAGCAAGTGAAGTTTTTTGGCCGAAATTGTATGTGACAGTGACTGAGGAAGCAGCCATGGGAGAAAAGCTCCAAGCTTTGAGTTCAAAAAGCAAACAGCTTGGCAATGAAAGAAAGATAGAAGCTTGAATTTACAAGGGTTGAGGAAATTATGGGAAATGGACAAAAGGAAGTTTAGGTGAACAGGACAGGGGCATATGAGGCAGCTTCAGCCATTTTAAATGGCTGAGTTTTTTCACTGAAGGGACTTTCAGTTTCTGGGCAATCATGGGGTCAAGGGTTGAAGGGTGCCTTAGTGTTTGTTGCTTTGGGTGCAAAAACTCTTTTCTTTGCTAAATTACACTTTTTTTGTAATTAAATATTGGTAGTTCTTGACTTTGATGTTTTTTTTTCTTTAACTTCCTAAAACCACTTAAAAACATGAACTATAAAAAACAAAAATCATATTTAGGTCCATACATAGTCAAATAGCATCTAACATTCAACAAACCAGCCTATTCTTTAACAAAAATTCTCAAGTAGCTTTTTTTTTGGTCGAAAGGTGCTCATTAAACCAATAAAGAGAAGCATTACAAACCACCTAGCAAAAGATAGAGGCCAAGCCCGAACAACAATTTGAGAAAGGAAAAGCAAGAACAAGACTCAACAGAGACCATAAGGGAGCCTTTCCTCACAAAGACTGCTACATAAAAAAATAATTAGAATACATGCAATTCAAAATTACAATATAAAAAAATATAAAGAAAATAGAAAGAACTCATAACTCATGTTAATTTTTGTTTTGTTTTGGAATTTAAGAAACGAGAACTACTTTATGAGTTTGTGCGTGAGTGAGTATGTTACGGGTCTCTCTGTGTTTTGTTCCTATCGGAAATTGAATATTGGATAGAGGGGTTGCTCTGTTTTAGTGTTTTGTTCCTAAATCAATTTTTATTGGGTGCGAAAAAAGTTGTTGCTGGAATAGGAAAAAAAAAAAAAAAAAAAAAAAAAAAAAAAATCATAAATGATTACCTTTTCAAATTCTCATGCTCATCTCCTCTTGGTCACCATTAATCTCAAAGACAAAGATCAAAAAATAAAAATTGTGAGCTTTTCAGTGAGAGATCGATTCTTTTAGGGTTACAATATGAGAAAAGAAGGATGAGAGAAACTGAAAATAATAGATTGAAGAGAGATTGGGAGAATAGAGAATAATATGGTGGATTAAATAGAGAGCATGTTCCATGGAGAAACTAGCAGTAGGAGAACCAAAGTCTTATGGAAAGAGGAAAGCGTGGGGAAAAGGAAGCGTCTTTCTTTTGGGAAGAGTAATCGTGTTTTTCTTATTTGATTTGAGTGTGTTTTTTTAATAAGTTGGACGCTTGGTATATATATAATATATAAAAAATTTGGGGCTCCCTTAATTGGAGGCCATCGCCCTTCGCAACCACCCGAGGGCAGCCCTAATACTAATTAGTGAATAAATTGGGTACAAACACCTGAGGTTTTATATTCGAATCTCTCATCCTCCAATATGGATTTACAAAAAACAAAAGAAAGGTACAAACACAAAATGTTGTAGGGCTTATTAGGTTATGATTTTGAAGTTGTCCACGTCCACCTATGGCTTATTGGGCTCAGGGCTTACTATCTAGTTCTTCTCGGCCCTTTTCTAATATGGGCCAAAATCTTCAATTGAATCATTTTGAATAGACTCGGAGCCACTTTATTGGACGAGTTATGACCCAAAACAACTTAGTTCCATGGAGCTCTTTGCCTCTTTTAATTAAACCCATCACATAGGCCTGAACCCATTTCATAATATGTCTCATCAAGGATTACAAGGTTGTTCATTCTGTGTTTGTGATATATATATATATATATATGTGTGTGTGTATATATATCATGTTGTATTGTGTTGTGCTACATGTCTAATAGTACACAAAATATCATACATTTATATATGAACAATTGTTGAGAAGATGTTTGCTTAAATTCTAGCCCAGGTTGTTAACAAGCCAAACAATCTGTAGTCTTATGCAACTGCATTTCGCCTATGTCAAAGTATTCTCTGTTTCTTTACTTCAACATTTAAAAAAAGGAAAGAAAAGAAAAGACATATATATCATGATTAGGTCATTCTATATGTAATTGATTTATTCAATTTTACATGAATCCAACAGTTTTGTCTCACATATTTTTGCATATATGGATGGTGATCTTCCTCAGTCCCCATCATGTGGTTATCAATGGGGGATTCCATTTTTGTACATTTGGGACCCACTTCATACTTTTACCAGTTAATTATGTTGAGTAAAGATGTAGAGTTTTTTTTTTAAATTTTTACAAAAGGTTTAGGGAGAGATTGGCTACTTTCACTATTAGCGCTAGTACAGACCTACAATCTCGAGCCGGAAGGACTTACGGGTGGCACCTAACTGCCAGCTACCACTGACATGAATTTATGTAGGAAATTACAGATCATGCACCGACAAGGACTATTGACAGCGAGACTTGAACATTAGTGGAGCTAGATACAATACAAGGACCTTATCAACTGAATCAACCCTCATTGGGTACATGTAAAGCTCCTTTATTTCTCACTCTGTCACAACCAACCTACTCCCTTTTTCCAGTTCTATCCTTTCATAGGTCATCTCAAATTTCCATCAATATTTCATTACCTTATCTTAATTTGTTCATATGACTCTTGACTCAAAAGGGTTCCACAATTTATATTCATTTTTGATTGGACAAGCAGCTGTGTTGTTCATATCCAAGCCCATTATTGCAGTGAGGAAACATAGAAGTATACAAGTTTATGTGCCTGAATTTCAGAATATCATAGGTAGGTTTATATGTGAATATATTGTGTGGTATATATATCTTGCTCAGTTGCTTAATGCTTAAGGTCTAAAGCTAAAAAAATAAAATAAAATAATGGGCTTGGAGCTCAAGTGATTAAGAGCAATTATCCCTGCATGAAGTTCTAAATTAAAGTCCATTCTCCAACATCGGTTATATAAAAAAAGTTCTAAGGACGAAAACAGTTCCTTAATTAACGTCCAATCGGATCTTGAAAGCAAAGCAAGATAATGGTTATGTGCTGTGTGGTGAGGCCAACATGTACGGATAACAATGTTGCTATGAATGGACATATGCACCTACACCTTGCTTTGCAAATATTTCAATTGGAAACATGATAAATATCCTGGACCAAATAACCAAGGTCATTGCTAGCGGCAGACAATTTTCGAGTCATTTAGTCTTTTTAATAGAATCTCTAAGCGGAAAAAAAGAAAAGACATTAATATTTGAGGTGTAAGAATAAGATTTTTGTAATATATGAGGTCTCTTGCTTTGATGTTCAATGGTCATTCTCTTTTTTCCAACACTTTGTCATTGACTCAGTAGTCAAGTACTGGAATTATTGTTCTCATGCAAAACTCTGCATGCCTCAATACTTATTTCTAGAGGTCACGAGTTTTCATCAATACATACACTCTCTGCACTCTCTAATCTCATAGTTTTTATCATGAGTTTTGCATTTTACTCCGAACAATTGATCTCCAAAACTACCTAGAACAGATGACATGACTGATCGAATTAATGCAGCTTTAACAGGAATATATATGCGTACATTATTCATGCTCGACTGCGTTTGAATGACTGGTTGACAATTATTATGTCACTTTGAGGGCCATAGTGGGTATCATATTTTGTTCCACCAACTCCCTGCAAAAGGGTTCAAACAAACAGCCATGCACTCGATGGCTGACAAGACCTCAACACATTAATTCATGCCACTTCGACCTCTGCCAAGTTCCTAAGATCGAAACTATTTAAGCAAAATTATATAATTACTACTTTAGATGTTAGTCTCTGTTATTGATCAATTTGTAGTGAGTAATTTTAAATTTTACTAAAATTCAATGGGGTGTAAAGAGTGTGGGGTGCAAAGAGCAAATTTTGGGATGTCAATAAATTATCCGAGCTCAAAAGGCCACAATCTACTGCTTTGGAGTCAATCAAGCTACACCAATTAAGCATTACTTTAGGTCTTAAAATGATGTAGTTTAGGCAATTAGGCCCAAGAATCCCATGAGCCTGTCTAGTTAATGACAATTAACATATTATGGATTACGGTGACATAAAAAAAACATATTATGGATTATAGTGAATTTAAAACACATGATATATACAAAGAACTCATTAGTGTAGTGGTTTGGAGTAATTACTATTTCAAAATAGGGTGCGATTAGATGCAATTAGCCTAATCTTTAAGTCCATGACTGGATGCTGAAAGAGCTACAAGTATTTTATAATTGATATCATGTTTAATCAATAAGAGGATAAAAATTGATAGTTTGTGGGCTAAGAATCTAATAACTTAAACAAGGGTTAGCAGAAACTAGGTCATTATAACTTTCTATCTAGTTCTGTATCATATACCACTAGTTCTATATTATGGTTATTATCGCTTTAAAAGGCCAATCAAGCTCACTTTAGTTTGACATTCAACCAACTTATTATAATTGTATCTTGTTGATGTCCAAAAATGAAACCAAGTATGTCTTCGGTAGCATGGACCCTACTACAGGTATATAATGGAAAGGATCTGCAAGAAGGAGTAGAACAACGGTGAAGCTTTATGCATTGTGCGGTAACGGTTGAAGGTTTTTTGATGCTTAAGTTAGCTTAGGATGGAGTGAGAATAATTGGATAGAGTAAGGATTCTAGTGCCAAGTTACATGCATTGGGGCAAGAGCCATATTTATAGACAAAAGAGGTGGAGCACCTTGGGTTGTAGTTTCGATGTGGGATTGTGAACATCGCCTGAGGGGTTGCCACGTGTCCTGACATGTAAGTGGCACAACATGTACCTTCGTTGAGCTAGATCGGCAGGTGAGGCTGTCGAAGGCTAACCCCTGCTGATGGTTGCTATGAATTCCAGGGACTAGGCTAGGCCATGTGGGCCTTTACGTTACAGGCTACCCATTCCACATGTCCAATTGAGAGGATCCGATAATATAATAGTCTGACACATGTCATACATAACTGCATAAAGTAACTGTTTTTAAAGTTTTTTAAGCTTTTCTAATATTTTTTTTTCTAATTATAAAAAAATTATATAATTTTTTTGGGTTACATTGATTGTTCGAACGAGTTCAAAGTGAGGTACCATGGGGGAGGTGGAAGTGGTGGGAACCTATTGGCTAATTATAGGAAGTTGACACATTAACAAAATACATATCGTGACTACATAGTGCTTTCTTAAGTTCGAATCTCGCACTCTCATTAATATAAAAATATAAAATAAAATGCATACCGTGCACCGTGCATGCATAGTACTTCCTACCAACTACACAAATTTATAGAAATGTTATATTTAAGAGAGAAACTTCCATATATAGAGAATATATATACAAAACGATTGTATTTACACGGAGACGTATATACACATATATATGATGCAAAGAAGGCAGTATATCCATCGGATGCCCCTTTCTAGATTAAGTTATATGCACCTTGAAATTAAAGGTGATTTATATATATATATTACTATTCAGTAAAGAAAATAAAGACAAATTAGGTATTGTGCATCATCATCAACATCCGAATAGTATTTGCACACACATTTCTCACATAATTGTATATATTGCTTATATATATAAATTAGGGTTCTCTTTGTTTCTCCCATACCTAACAGCTTTTAAGATCGATCTTGAAATTAAGCAGCAGCAGCAGCCATGAGTAGAGGTGGGAGCTATGGCGGTGGACAAAGTTCATTGGGTTACTTGTTTGGCTCAGATGAGCAACAAAGCCCACCTCCGCCATCTAAGCCGATAACACCCCCTTACGGCATCGATAGCTTGGACACCGTCACTGAAAAGCCTCCAGGTACCCGTAACTCTGCTGAAAAAGAAAAGGCAGCAGTTTCCAATAACTATCACAGAGCTGAAGGCCAAAATTCTGGGAACTTCTTAACTGTAAGTTTTTCATATATTATATTAATTTATGTGCAAGATGTGTTTTATTAGGGAATTACCTGAGCTTACTTGTAATATATACCACATGATCTATATATATTTATTTCAGGATCGTCCAACAACAAAAGTTAATTCAGTTCCTGGGGGAGATTCATCACTTGGGTACTTGTTTGGAGACAAGTGAAAAAATTCTGAATTTTTCCCACCTTCTCTACCTATATATATTTTAATAGCGAGATTATTTGGGTTTTGGACAAAACAAAAAAAGTGTATAATAAGAGGGGTTCATCAGTCCCTTAAGTGTGAGATTTGCAAGGTAGGTACCTTTTTCTTTTCTTTTTTTCTTTTGGGGGAAATGGGAAGACGAGGATCGATAGATCAAGAACCGGGTGTGATGATAAACACTCAATCCTGGCATCTATGAGCTTCCAAATTCGTAGATACAAGATTAGGTTAGCCTGCTATATTTGGGTATCCTAAGCTTGTCATATATGAAAATCTATTTTGAGCTTATTTTGGTGGTTAAATTTTGATATGGTTCAATTATATATATAGATGTAGCTTGGCCAAAACGGATCCGTTTTGGTTTCTTTGAACTTTGAACAAAGATACCTCTCTCCGACCACTAATATTATCGAATTGGTGCTTGCTTCTCTTTTCTTTTTCTTTTCCCTTGTTTATTATATAGAAACGTACATGAGTTCATGTTTTGGGTCTACTCTCATGATTTGGTCTCTCTGTCTTTCTGTTGTACTAACAAAAAGTTTCCCTTGTTGGTTTGAATTCTCAGAATATATCTTCACATGTGTTATTATTATTATTTTTTCATTCATGGTCATGGAATTAAATAAACAATAAATCAAAATATTCCATTAATTTCAGTAATTTCATGCTGTAAGTATTGTGTTTTTGTTCATGGCCATGGAAACAACAAATTATTTTGTTTCCATCTGAGTTCATTTTTTTATGATTAATGATTTTTGCAAACAACTTCATGTGTAAATTGTGGTATATGTAGCTATTTTAAATCATAGATTCATAAAACTTGAACAAACTTAGTACTTTCCCTTCTTTTTTCATCCTCGAACTTCGTTTTGTGTGTGTTCTATAATGGAAATTAAGAGTTTGTGATGGGAACCAACTTTTTCTTTATGTTGTGTTTAACTGAGTAGACATAAACCTACTCCAGTTATACAAATATCATTTTGTTGAATCTTCATCAGCATTTATGCATCATCAACACAGAGAGAGAGAGAGAGAGAGAGAGAGAGAGAGAGAGAGAGAATGCGAATCGTAATTATGCTTAGTTATGCCAAATTATGCTTAACTCACGCACCTCAAGCTGAGTATTACCTATATGCATGCTTAGTATTGGCTAGTTATCTAGCTAAGTAGCTAGCTAAACTTGTTGGTTGGTATGTGGGGCTATCATTTGGAGCACTCAACAACTAGCTCCTCAAATCCTAGATCCTGGTTTTCAGTGTTTTTATATTATAATAGTACTCTTATCTGCCTGACTCGAATATACAGCTTATAAAATTACAAAAAATTATTGGACAAGATATATAAGTGACAGGTGACAAACCAAGAGAGAGATGAAGGGCCATTTTTATGGACTTTCCATTAATTCCTACAAAATCTGGTTTTATATAGATGACTTGGATAGAGTTGCAAATCTTAGACATCTAGAGTTTTTTTAGGTCAAAATCCTCTTATGCGGACATCCAGACGTTATTATTATACGGACGTCATATATTTTGTATTATCATTTCCTATTTTCTTGCTTGTTTATAATGACATCTACACGATAATAACGTGTGGACATCCGAATGAGAGAATAATTATACATATATATTGTTGCTCAGATATCCTATAGGCTAGCTTGCATGTATATGTATATTTGTATATATCTAGTTGTGTAAATACTTTGGCCCAACCTTGTCGTGCTCTCAGTACAGATACAGAATGTACCATGCCAAGCACTAGCACAAAATAGGCAGTGCTAGAAAAAACCAGTTTATGCCGACATGACCTATATTTAGTTTTTATTGTCTGAATAAAAAAGGGTCTTCAATGTTCAAATGCTCGCCATTGCTCAAGCCAACAACTCTTACTATAATATTTAGCTACATATGATTTTGTTTGCTTTTTTTATTTTTATTTTTTTTTGTTTTGGGTCAATATTTTTTCTTTCTATAACAAATACTGCGTGTTTTATCTTGCAATCTTCCATTATTCAAAATAGCGCAATTATTGCTAACCAAGACTAGCAACTACCTTAATAACTAACATCAAATTTATATTAAATTGTACCATGACATGAGTAAAACAACTGCAAATATTTCAAACTTGGGTAAGGAGGTCAGACTCCACTTGTCTCGTTATGGTGGGCCAACAGGCTTATTTGGGTTAACATTTTTGGCCAAAAATTGAACTTACTTGACCTTGGATTTGTCAAAGTCTCTTCACAAAAAATTTGTGGGCATGCGGCCGGGCTTTCTTGGGCTCAACCGGGTGGATTCGGGCTTTAGACACCCTAGCCCAAATCTAACTAATTGAATAATGGATTTGGTTGGACTGGGTTTCGTGTTTCACTTTACCCCATGTCGTCAACTCCGCCAAAGAATTTACAAAATGTTATATTCTTCCTTCTCCAGCAGTTCACTTTCTATTTTTCTTTTTCTTTTCTTCTTCTTCTTTCAGTGCTTGATCTTGCTTGTTGTAAGCCCTTCTAATTCATACATGCTGATGCATCTCTTCTAATTTGTCAAAAGCAATTCCTTTATTAGACATACTTTCCAGTGTAAGTCTCAGATTTTCTTTCAAATAGATAAAAACCTTTGATGTGCATAAAATTAAAGCATCTAGTCTCTTTTCCTGAGCTAGAAGAGGGGTGGAGGATAGTTGGGTTTGTGTAATATGGGGTGAGGTATCATTTGGGGGTTGTGATTTGGGGTGTGGGATCAATTGGGGTGGCTGGTAAGGATGGATTTGTTGAAGGTGGTTGGATGCAGGTTGGCCTTTAGTAGGGATGACAACGGGTTGGGTAGGGGCTGGATATGACAATATTATCCTCATCCCCCCTCTTTATCCCCGTCCCCGTCCCCGAATCCATCCCCATTTAATAGGTTTCGGGGAATTCCCGTCTCCATCCCCGTCGGGGGACTATCCCCCTATTAAAGCATATAGTCTCTGTTCCTGAGCTGGAAGAGGGGTGAGGAATAGTTGGGTTTGTGTAATATGAGGAGGGGTATCAATTGGGGGTTGCGATTTGGGGTGTGGGATTAATTGGGGTGGCTGGTAAGGATGGATTTGTTGAAGGTGGTTGGGTGAAGGTTGGCTTTTAGTAGGGATGACAACGGGTTGGGTAGGGGCCGGATATGACAATACCATCCCCATCCCAGCTCTCTATCCCCATCCCCGAATCCATCCCCGTTTAATAGGTTTCGGGAAATCCCCGTCCCCATCCCCGTCGGGGGGACTATCCCCCATACCCTCCCTGAATCCCCGATTTTTTTTTCGCATAAAAAATACTATCATACATTTTACCATTAAGTTATCATTCAACACATCCAAATTAACTATAAAGTTCAACTCAACTATTCAAAATTACATCAATATGAAATTCCAGAAAAGATTAAGAAGAATTAGGAGAGGGAGGTTAACTTAGGATTAAACATAAATATAATAAATATTATAAATATTTATTTAAATATAAACATATATATTTTCGAGTCGGGTTCTGGGATGGGGACACCAATACCATCCCCTATCCATACCGGTCGGGGATCCTCGTACCCGATACCCATTTGGCCCCGAAATCTCTCCCCGTTAGGTTTGAGGACCCGCCCTCGCGGTGATTTTTGCCATCCCTAACCTTTTGGAGTTGTGTGGTTTGGGGTTGGTGGATGAATGTGCTAAAGGTGATTGGGTGGAGGTGGTTGGTGGTTGTGCACTAGTGAGGTTTGTCATAGGAGAATGGTTGTAGGGATGAGGTGAGTTTTGTGGTATGAGAGAGATGAGAGATAGGGATTGGTGGAGTGGTTGATCTGGTAGGTGGGTGTTGTCGGATGCGTCTGAACAAGTTGTGAGCCACACGCCACGCTAAGCAAACACACTACGTATAAGGGTCAAAACTAGCTTATGAGATGTACCGGCCTTATGAACCCACACACACTGACCTGTTAGTTGCTATTTGGTCCGGTCATAGCCTATTATAGCACAATAGAACTCAAGCATGAACATGTCAAATAAACATGCAACGCCAAATCAAAAGACCACCATTCTAACTCCAAGCCATGCTACAAGCTCAAGTGGGCCCAAGCCACGTAAAAACCTGGGGCTTGCTGAGAAGGTTGTGGTATGGATGGGTACAAGCCTTCACGACGCCTATTGAGGATTATAGGGATGGAAGTTTTGGGTTACTTGGAAGCACCCAAAACTCAAGCCTATTTTTTTGGGCCCAAGCACATGGGCAAGCAATGGAGAGAGAGAAGGTGGCCCAATGCCTTAAGAGAATATATAAAGATCCGCAACACTTAGGAAAGCCCCACGTCAGTTAAGGTACCTAGTGCCTCTTTAAGAAGCCACTTCCAGCAGCTTGACGAAACCATAAAAGACTTAGTTGACTTCTGGAAATAGGAAGCCAATGACCCAATGCCTTAGGAAAAAGCCCAGCTCAACACCTTATAAAAATTTGGCATCATATCTAGCTATTAGAATCAGTCAAACAGAAGCCATTGCAAAGACCAAAGGAAATTCGCAAGGTAGATAGAATACTCGATGGATTAAGATCCCTACCCTTGTTTCTTTCTTCTTCAAGCTTTAATAGGAAAACCAGAGGAAAATAATAGGTGACTCCTCACCCACATGAAGTGGTCCAGTTGCGTCAGAGCCTTGGAACCCCAAAACTTCAAGCTTATGGTTTCAGGCTGAGGAAGTTTTCATTGAATAGGATCAAATGGAAGAAAGGCTGGAGTGCCTATAAAAGGAGGCTTTTTCTACCCAGTAAACACACCCTCATCAAGAGCACGACCAAGCTTTTGTCGATCAACTGGAAACTCACTCAAGAGACTCAATTCTCTGCTTCCATATCTCATTTTCTTCTTTAGTTAAAATATTCCCAAAATCTCTCTCCCTTTACTTTAAGCCTTCGTTTCATTTAGAAATTCATGCTCTTTCTCTCTATTGCTAAACTCGAGAAGGCTTAGCTCCCATGCCATAAGATTTTTAAGCGAAGCCATATTATTAATCTGTCATGCCCCAACTCTCGGATTTACCAAAATCTTGGGTTAAGACGTGATTCACACCTTAATTATAGAATTTAATAAAAACTATAACCAAAATGTGAAGAAAATATTTAAATAAATAAAATAAATATTTCACATAGAATATTCAACGGAAACGAGGAAACGACAACATCTGAAACCGTAAAAATTTTACATTATTTTACAAGTTAGAACTACTCGAGAGTTCACTAAAAGAGTAGTTTATTATTCAACCACAAGCTATAATACACTCTATAAACATGCCAAAATCATCACAAACTCTAGATTTCATATTCAGTACTTGCAAAATCTATTAGGGGTGAGCGAAACCACAGCTTAGTAGGGACATAAACCTTTTCATGGTAAATTGATATAATTAAATTAAGTGACAAATAATCAAGCATCCAAATTTCACATTATTTGTAACAATGGATGAATGCTCTTCATCTAATCCCGTTAATTCATATGACTGGACAAGCATACCTGCATGTCCCATACCATGCTTATACCACTTGGTCATGAATGCCTATTTATATGAACTAACACCCATTTGAATCATCCCATAATTCCCATTTTGTTAGTCATCTTATCTACTCCCTTAGTGATCTTGTCTAACCTTAGAGGAATGAGGAAGTTTGTTTGATACTAATTACAAGCAATTAACAATCTAATTAGTGAATCAATTGGGTAAAAACACCTGAGGTTTTGTGTTCGAATCTTTCCACCTCCAATATCGCTTTATCAAATACAAAAAGAAGGTACACACAAAATGTTGTAGGGCTTAATGGGTTATGATTTGAAGTTGTCCATGTCCACCAATGGCTTATTAGACCCAGGGCTTATACTATCTAGTTCTTATGGGCCCTTATCTGACATGGACCAAAGTCCTCAATGGAGTAATTTCTAATGGACCTGGAGCCACTACATTAGATGAGTTATGACCCAGATTACAACCTAGGAATTCTTTACTTCTATGGTAATAGGGCCACGTGGTACATCTTATACACGTATGAAATTGGTACTTAGGTGAATGGAGTAAATTAAAACTCCAATAGATAGATCTAAGACAACAATGATTAAATGTTCATTGTAACAAATGACTAGTCAACGACTAGTCATAGACCTATGAACAAGCAACATATACACAGATTCACAACACCTCCAATCCTAGAAGAAGGCTAAGTGACACCCTAGCACTCAGAAGGATTTGTCAATTTAGGCATCTTCAGTGCTAGCAACAACTAGAGTGGAAAGTGTGTGAACATTCATCATAGATCACAAGAGTATCTAATAGAGTATGACTAGTCAAACAAATATGAACACACACCAAAAATTGTTCACTCAGAAACCCAGTATTCATAAAGCAGCAACACATATTATAAAGATACCTAAGAGGAATTACATGAAGTGTACATTGGGCAAGGAAAGCCAATTCTAAGAATCCTCAACCTAACAACGTGTTATAATATAAGTGGATATTTATTGATACTATTCCCTAAAACGGGGAAAAATAAATCATGTCGTCTACCCATATTATAACATGTACACAAGATGTACCATGTGGCCATACTACAGTAGTATTATATAATTTCTCCCTTAAAATTGAGGAGAAGCTCCTCCTTAAAACCAATGGAATTCTGACACTTATCAAATTCAAACAACATTGACAAAGTTTCAACAACAAAAAAAGAATATTAAAAAAATTTGACAAGAGTGAAAACCACATTGGTTGTAAGGAGGAGCTCCTCATTTTTAAAGAGCCAAACATTTTCCTTTCATAATATGTCTCATCAAATTACATGGTTGTTTTGGCCAAAAATAAAATACAAGGTTGTTCATTTTATTTTTGTGATATATATATATATATATATATATATATATAGTTTTGCTCACATCAGGATGACTGGATTTTAATTAAAATGCGGACATTAAAGGTGAAACGTCAGATCAATCCAATGATACTGCAGCTTTGATATGTATTAATTGACAAAACTTAAAACCACGCGCAGATAAACTCTTTGGTTTTTTTCCCACGCGCAAAGGACAACCACTTTAATGATTATTGAACTAATTTAATATTATATCGAAGTTATCATACCTTTCTCCCTTCTTCTTTCTCTCGATTACCTCAAGCCTTCCCTTCTCTCATTCTCTCACCTTTTTTTTCTTTTTTTAATTTTTTTTCTCTTTCTTTTTTTGTTTCTCTCTCTCTCTCTCTCTCTCTCTCTCCATATGTCTCTCTCACCCTCTTCTCTGCTTTTTCTCCTTCTTAACAAAGGGGGCTTAAGCCCAAAGAACAATGGTTTCATTAAGCCTGTTCTTTTTTCCTTGAGTCAAAAAGCTTGTGGAAAATGCATCACATGCCTCTTTAATTTCTAGATTTGCACAGACATTTCATTAAGCTTGTTATTTTTCCTTGAGTAAAAAAACTATGAGAACAATGATTTGTAAAAATTTATCTAAATCAAACTGACAATGGATTTTGATAATTTGTGGATTGCAATGGGTGTTTCTTTGTTTTTCTCTACAGGTCAACAATCTTCTGGAAAACACACCCCTTAATGGCGGTACATATGCAATCATAACCTAGAAATTAATTGGAGGTTGTGAACCTTATTGTGATGGGTGTTTCTTTGTTTCTCTCTCCAGTATCTAGCATTTGGCATTTAACCAAATTTACAGAGACAGAGATATGAAAAAGAAAAGAGAAAGACAGCGAGAAGAAGAAGAGAGAGCGTGAGGCGACCGAGAGAACAAGAGAGAGAAGAATAAAAAAATAAAAGGGTGGATACATTCCTCCTCTCGTTTTTGCCTTTCCATTCGTTCTTTTGTTTTTTTGTCCGTTCTTTCTCACTTTGAAACTAAATATGGACACAATTGTTTCATTCTCTCCCTTGTTTCATTTTTTCATTCTCACTCTCATACTTCTCTCACAATTGTTTCATTCTCTTTTCTTTTTTCTTTTTTTCCTTTTCTAGCCTTTTCTCAATTTTTGTTTCTACTATTTTTTTTCCGTCATTTTTCTCTCTTTGAAACCAATTGTCACTGTTTGTTTGATACCTTTGTTTTCTTTATAATTGACATGCTCCAATAAGAAAAATACTTTAAGCAAATAATACCTTATTATTAAGACAAAAATTAAAAGAACTCTTGAAATATAAAAGTTCTACAAATTACTTGTCCTTGCAGCATCTCTTTGGTTCAAATTCATCTTTGTAAGAAAAATTATATATAAAAAAACCTAAAAGATTCACATATCCTCGTGTTTATTCGCATAGTCTAGACTTAAGTGCAAGATGTCCCATATTCATGACTGCAGTATGAAACCCATGTTTGTACTTCCAGGTAATTTTTAGCCTGCTAAAGGAAAAATTAATATCATAATGTGTTACTTCAATTTTCCTGTCAATAAATTAACACACATATATACATCAATATTACCTATGGAGAAAGAACTCTCATCTGTATCAGATAAATTTGAATTTCCATCATTGCACCTACATCAAAGGAAAACAATAATTAAGACGATTGATGCAATATTCATATATAAAAAATTTGAATAATAATTACACACTCACCCATTTTTTAGCGTTGGACAATTTCTTTTATCATGTGATTGTCCAATTTTTCCGCATCCATGACAACGCCTACTCTTACTCTCCTTTCTCTTTTCCTCTTTTTAGCCTTTTTCCACAACGTTTTACTCTAACAGGAAGTGTTTCATTAAACTTGTGTGCTCGAGTAGTACTACATTTTTCAGGAACTCCACTTGTAGCATCAACTATAGGTTTGATCTCCTCAAACGCATTTTGTAATTTTTTTGCTGCGATGTCACTTGCTTCTTCGTTTGTCATAGCTTTATCAATTACATCTGAAGCAAGTTGAAACAATCTAGTTCGTCTCACAAGAAATGATTTAAAAAAAAAATCATTTAATTTTAGACCGTCATCATAAAAAACTCTCTCTAAATTTTCAGTTTTAGTCCATCTCTTCAAGATGTATTGATGTGGCAAATAAGTGAACCGCATAGTATTAAAAAATGCCAAGATGTGTCTACATGTGATTCCTTGACTCTCAAATTTATTGCAACTACACTAAGCAAAATCCAATTCTTTTTCATGAACAATTTCTCGCACTCCGGAACCATGGTCATTGTTTCTCCTCTTAACTTTGTACACACAATAATTGGCAGTCTCACTTGTCAACTCAACCATATATAACAAATTGCACCATAATTCATAGAAAATTTTACGTGTGTAAATCCAAACAAACACTGTTGTTTGACCATGATTATTGACCCCTACAAATGATGCAAATATCATACCATACCGATTAGTGTTATAAGTACTATCAAACACAACCACATCTCCAAAAAAAATGTGTACGCCTTCCTTGATTTTGTGTCAGCCCACAAACAATGAGTAATTTTATCTTATTCGTCTGCCTTAATCTTAAAAGTGAAGGACAGATTCTTTTCGTGCTCTAGCTGAAAATGCTCATACAACATATATGCATCATGTCCTTTCATTATTGTAAATATCCTTCTCTAGACATCCAACATTTTCTATCCCCCCAACTTGCATTTCAAGAAGGCTAAATTGTTGATGTGTAGGTATATTTGCTGTTGAAAATAGTTGGGTTATACACTTATGAGAATTTGAAACTGTACGATGAGACCTTAACAAGTGTACTCTTTTAGGACTTGTTAATGGGTGGTTGTGACGCTCCACAAATAGGCTGACTACATAGGTTCTCGATTTCGACTTCACCACAGCTAGCTTTGCCTTACAACCTTCTCGAGTAATACCTCTATGCCTTTTTTTCTCACCAACTCCTTTAGCGGGCACTCCTTCTTTAGAACACACATGCTCCTTTTGTAGGATTTCTTTAGTTTCTTTATTCTTCCTACTAGAATTGATTCTGACACTGAAACTAGCTTCCTTGGCATAATTATTGTAGAACTCGTGAGCATCATCTAATGACTCAAATTCTTAACCTGATTTTGGCTTGTGGTCATCTCTTAGTTGCGGTATGTAGATTTTGTCACACGAATTTGAATATGAATTTAATCTATATTGCCCAACCCCTTCAGAATGACCATCTAATTCTTCGGCCATGTAATCCATCTTCATGATACGATTACAGTGAAAATAATAATAAGAATCATAAAACCCGTAGAATAATATTTCTAAAAGAAGAAACAAAGAAAAAAACTAAGAAAATAAATGAACTCTACTGTATAATGGAAAACGTTGGTCAAGAAATCATGATAGGCAGATTGGTATACGAGTAAAAAAACATAGAAATCATGATGGTCAAGATATTAAATATTATAATCCGAGTAAAAAAATAAAATAAAACAAATTAAAATAACACTTACTTGAACTTCTAAATTGGAAGGATCAGTTGAGTTGTAAGGTTATGGCCTGATGTGATGGGGCTGTCAATGTCAGAAAGATGTTGAGAGGTGTTGAACAAGTAAACCTCTTGGGCTGCCCTAAGCTGCCCACCTTTTCAGTTTTATAAATAAGAGAGAGAAGGGAAAGCTTGAGGTAATCGAGAGAAAGAAGGGGAGAGAAAGATATGATAAGTTTGATATAATATTAAATTAGTTCAATAATCATTAAAGTGGCTGCCCTTTGCGTGTCGAAAAAAAAACCAAAGAGTTAATCTACGCGTGATTTTAAGTTTTGTCAATTAATGCATATCAAAGTTGCAGTACCATTTGATTGATCTGACGTTTCACCTTTAATGTCCGCATTTTAATTAGAATTCAATCATCCCGATGTGAGCAAAACTCTATATATATATGAACAATTGTTGAGAAGATGTTTGCTTAAATGTCTAGCTCAGGGTTGTTAACAAGCTGTCAAGATTTGTGCACTAGTCTTATATGCAACTGCATTTTGGCTATGTCAAAATATTCTCTGTTTCTTTACTTCAACATTAAATAATAATAATAATAACATATCATGTTTAGGTCATTCTATATGTAACTGGTTTATTTATTTTAACATGAATCCAAAAGATTTGTCTCTTATATTTTTGCATATATGGATGGTGATCTTCCTCAGTTCCCATCATGTGGTTATCAATGGGGAATTCCCTCTTTTGTAAATTTGGGTCCTACTTCATACTTTTACCTGTCATGTTCATACTTTGTTTCTTACTCTGTCACAACTAACCTACTCCCTTTTTCCAGTTGTATCCTTTCCTAGGTCATCTCAAATTGGCATCAACATTTCATTACCTTATCTTGATTTGTTCATATGACTCATGACTCAAAAAGGTTCCACAATTTATATTCTTTTTTTATTGGTCAAACAGCTGTATTGTTCATATCCAACCCAACCCCATTATTGCAGTGAGGAAACTTAAAAGTATACAAGTTTAGGTGCCTAGATATCAGAATATCATAGGTAGGTTTATATGTGAATATATTGTTTGGTATATATCTTGCTTAATGCTTAAGGTCTAAAGGCAAAAATAAAGGCATTGTAACTCAAGTGGTTAAGAGCATTTACTCCGGCATTTGAGGTCATAAATTCGATTTCCTCTTCTCAATATCGTTTGTATCAAAAAAGGTCTAAAGGCAAAAACAGTTCCTTAATTAACGTCCAATTATCGGATCTTGAAAGCAAAGCAAGTTAATGGCTGTTATGTGCTGTGTGGTGAGGCCAACATGTACAGATAATAATGTTGCTGTGAATGGACATATGCGCCTACAACTTGCTTTGCACTAGTTGGCAAATATTTCGATGGGAAACATGATAAATATCCTGGACCAAATAACCAAGGTCATTACTCTAGCTAGTGGCAGAAAATTTTCGAGTCATTTAGTCTTGTTAATAGATTCTCTAAGCAGAAAAAATGAAAAAGACATTAATATTTGAGGTGTAATAATAAGATTTTTGTAATATATGAAGTCTTTGTGATGCTTTGATGTTCAATGGTCATTCTCTTTTTTCCAACACTCGTCATTAACTCAATAGTCAAGTACTGGAATTATTGTTCTCTCATGCAAATTACTAAACAGAGTAACAAAAGACACTAAAGGCTATCAAAACAATGCCTAATATGTAGTAGTAGGCACTGACTAGTAACTCTAATGTTAATATGGCACGGAATGCAAATCTCCGTGACTTATTTTCCCAATATGTACACTCTCTGCACTTTTGTAATCTCATAGTTTTTATATCTTGAGTTTTGCATTTCACTCAGAACAATTGATGTCCAAACCTAGCTAGCAGTGGCAGACCTATTAAGGCGCAAGGAGGTGCAATTGCCATTGTAGGTGCTTGAAATTGTCCATTTACTCAGTTGGTGGTGATGCACAAATTACCTTATTTCATTTCTTATTTCATTTTACTTTGAAAGTAAAATGAAAGTAAATGTCTTTGTCATTTTACTTCCATATATTTTTATATTACTCAATTATAAGTTTACAATATAAATAAGGAAGTATCCCCTTTTGGATTCAAATAAAAATACTAGAAAATCAAATTCCTACCAAATCAAAATATGAAAAATCGGTTTTAGTGCAAAATACGATGTATGCTAAAAATGATGGCTCATTAAGTCAATATATACTTCATAATAAAATCTCTTAAAATCAAGTTTTCTTATTTGATGTGTAAGGAATAAAAGCGGCCAAAAATTATATTGAGAAAATGATTATTTTGAAAAACTATTTTTCATACTTGGTTAATATTTTTACATACAACAATTTTTCATGTATGATATGAATAAATGAAGGGACCTAAGGTCAATCTAGGTAAAAGTCTTAAATATTCAATCCTCAAAGACTTTTTAGCCTTTCAAAATTGCACTTATGTTAAAAAATTCCTGAGTTCGCTAGTGCTAGCTAGAACTGATGACATGACTAATGGAATTATAATGTAGCTTTAACATGAGAATATATATATATATATTTATATATATATATTTATATATTTATATATATATATACTCTATTCATGTCGACTGAATTGAATGACTGGTTGAAATTATTATGTCACTTTGAGGGCCATAGGGGGTATCATATTTTGCCCCATCAACATCCTGCAAAAGGGTTCAACCAAACGGGATGGGATCGTTGTCTTCATTTTCCATGTCCCTCCGTGTACCTTGTATAATTTTTTGACATGTGTCCAACAACTTAACCCTAACATAACACTGTTAACTAATAAATTAGAAAAATAAAAACTAAACATTAAAAGAATAAATATAACCAAACAGCCACCAGTTTGAGCGCCCACCACCTCACCCGCCACAACCCCTTGTCCTCCTCACTGCAGACGAGCCCTCTGCCCTTAGTCTCATAGATAGGAGAGAGACTAAAGGGAGAGGGCTCGTCTGCAGTGAGGAGGACAAGGGGTTGTGGCGGGTGAGGTGGTGGGCGCTCAAACTGGTGGTTGTTTGGTTATATTTATTCTTTTAATTTTAGTTTTTATTTTTCTAATTTATTAGTTAACAGTGTTATGTTAGGGTTAAGTTGCTGGACACATGTCAAAAAATTATACAAGGTACACGGAGGGACATGGAAAATGGGGATGATCGAAACTAAACGCTATAGGTGTGGTATCATATTTTGCCCCATCAACATCCTGCAAAAGGGTTCAAACAGACAGGCGTGCACTCAATGGCTGACAAGACCTAAACACATTAATTCGTGACCACTTCTCTCTGCCAACTTTCCAGGATCGAAACTAAACAAAATTATATATATAATTACTAGTTTAGATGTTAGTTTTTGTTATTGATCAATTTGTTGGAAGTCCAAAAAAACATGGTATTGTCCAAGGAGCGGAACCAAGAATTTAATAGCAGGTGGGCTAGCTAAAGTTATTAGCTT